TTTTAAGGTAATTTTCACTTGCACAATAATTCCTTCTTTTAAAAAAAAACATTTGCAAAAATATTAGAGAACAACAGTTTGAACGAGCTGATCATTCACAAGTGAGCATTTGGCCCAATGTTAAAAAGTGAGCGATTTTGATTGTTACTTACTAGGGTCCATGTTTTGAATATAACAACAATTACACGCACGTGAGCGACTATCGTTAGCACAACTTTTTAAATTGTTTAAATATATGTGTATAACAGAAAACAACAACATATCTTTTTATATGATAATTTGGTCTACTTATGGCATGTTTGGGAATGATTATGGAAGGGCTAAAAGTGTTTCTGACAACTCTCCAAGTGCTTTTGAGTCATAGAAAGACTTTATGGAGAAGCACTTGCTATGTGCTTTTTCAAGAGGCACTCAAAGTCCTTTTTCATGAATCAATTGGATTTCTTATGAAAATTTCAACGTTTTTATAATAAAAACACTCATGAGGATAAGTGTTTCATAGAGAAATCTCAAACAAAGCCTTTAGACTCCAACTGATTTAAGGAGATCCCAAATTCAAATCTCATAGACATTATTCGACTCAAGGGAGATCCAAAAATTGGTGTGAGTTACTATGCCATAAAGAGATCTAAGAGGTCATGTCTGTCAATTGCATGACTTTATCTATTAATTTAATATAAATAGTGAGAAAAGCTAATTGGTAGGTACAGGATTTTATTCTCTTGAATGGGTCAGTTAAGGTTGTATGGACAGCCACTGTTTTTAAGAGCAGGATATGATGTTGAAGTGCGTTGGCCTGGCCATCTAATCTAAACCACTAGTTCACAACTCATAAGTCATAAGGTGAATTCAATTACACATTTACACTTGGGTTGGTTTGGGTTGGTACATTCATGCAAAATCATTGGCTAAGGCTTTGGCTTCTAATCGCAATATATTTTACAATCTCACCTAATTCTACAACGTTTCTTGGTTTGGAATTAGGGTTGTGGCCTACGAGAGACAGAGGTTGGGTAAATTGGGTTTGGGCTAACTAATTTCTTGCAAAGATTCTAATCCAGGCCCGAAATAGATATTATCATCTTTAATACGACAAAAGTTTAAAAATTACGCTAGAAGGAGGGCTCGAACCTCCGACCTTGTGGTTAACAGCCACACGCTCTAGCCAACTGAGCTATTCCAGCTACTTGTTATTACATCTTTACGTTTCTAATTTAAACTGATGTTGTGACCCTACCTACCTTACTGTGTCTTTCTAACCACTTGTATGAGGGATCTGTTAAGCCCAATTGAAAGCTGCATGGGCTTTTCTTTGTTTGTTTTCTTAGTTTTCCAAATGAAACTAGTCGCTCATTTTAAGCCTCAGGCTCGTCCCATGAGATCTCCGGGGAAATGAATTTGCATTAACAATTAAAAGGGATTAGAATACTAAAATATCGAATGTATGCCATACAATAAGTAATTAATATGGAGTTTTATGAAAAATTTCAATCATAAATTAGATTAGTTGGTCATAATAGTAAGGTTGCTCATTTGCACCCAAGATCGTATGCCCTTCTCCATAAATTAGAGTACACTTTTTTTAAATAGGACAAACGATATTACAAGATCCTATTACAACAAGCCAATCTACTCACAACAATTTACAACGAGACAAACCACCAATGACACAAGACTATACCACTAACTAGGTATTGAACTCATCACAAATATATATTGTTTTCGTCATTCCTGTAAGTCGAACTTGAGACCTCCTCTAAATATTCAATTAATCATAAATATATATTTTTCTCGTCATTCTCAACAAATTAGCAAGTAGTTTATACCATATATTTTATAAAATATTATTAAAACAAAACAAAAATTGTGCACATTAAAATTTTGGATTTTAGGTTTTCCTAAATTTGGGAAAGAAAAAGAAAAAGGATTATAGGTGGACCCAAGCGTGGCATAAAGGTTATTGTCGGTGCCACCGTGTTCAATAAAAGATGCTATTTTTACTGATCCACAGGGGTGGCAGGAGCAAAAAAGCTGTATCGTCATTCGTAGTTAATCATACAGAAGGATGCTTTCGTAATTTCGGCGTCATAAATTGTACGTTTGGATTGTTACCCGTATCTCTCTCATCCGAGACTGAGAGATAGTCTGAATGACGGATGCATGGTCATTTTCTTATTGGCAGAAACAAAAAGCACCGAAACTGAAACCGATGTGTCACGGGACCCACGCCCGAATCTATTTTGGTCCAATCACTTCTCTCCGCATCAGAGAAATCATCTGCGCCTCCGGTCTCTCCATCTCTCTCCTCCTCCTCCACGTCCTGCTGTTGGCGTTATGCCATATAGGCCCCACCGTATCGATCAAACATCTCAGTATGACCGTAGGCCGCTCGTGTGAGTACAGTCACTATGATGTAATCATGGAATGTAGAACACCTACTGTACAGTGCGGGCTGGTGCACCAGAAGATCTTCACCAAGGCATTTTTTTATTTTTGGGACGAATCTTCTTCACCAAGACTTCTGAGTTCTGAGAACAATTTTACTTTTGTTTTTTTTATATTTTTTGTAAGCTTTAAACCCCAAACTAGCTAAACAAACCTTTTTTGAATTTTTTTTCTTAGTCAAATTGTCCTCAAACATTTTTGAATTATTACCTTTGTTTTTTTTACTTTTATTGTCTATTACTATTTTTTAGGATTGTTTAATATTGGAAATTTTTTTTTTCAATGTAAGCGATAGTATAAATGACAAAGAATGAGCGTTTCTCACACACGCACTACCACGACATGATATGGATTTGAACATAATACCAGTAGTTTGCAAGTTAAGTCATTTTCCAATAAGCTAGACCTCATTAACCATTTTCCATACTAGTTTAATTATTCTAAACAAGAGCTAAATATGTATGAAAAATAAAACAAGTGTTCAATTGTTTATGGTATTTTTGAGTTAGTTATAACCGTATCCTTTTTTCTTTTTTCTAACCTTACAAAATCCATTAATTCATGCAATAATGGAGATTAATCGGTGACGGTTCCAAGATTCAAAAGCCAATTGGGCAAAACTTACATACTAAACTCGATGCTACGAATGAATTTTATTAATAAATGTAAAAATATACACATAATTAGGGATGACGTAATGAGCCTTACCCTCAAATGCATATCTATTCCATATACACAAATAAAAGTTCGACAAATACAAAAACTAAACTAAAACCAAAAGTAAATACAATACAAAATAAAAAAACACTATTTTAAATCTAAAATTTAACCATGCGAGGCTTAGAACTTTTAAATTCCATTACTGATGCATTAGCAAACTCTCTTTCATCCCTAAATAAACCCTACAATACTCAATTTTAAATTAAAATTATAATTAAAGATATATAGAAAATAGAGGGAGAAAGAAGCTGTTGATGTCGGGTAGCTAAGAGAGAGAGAAATAAGTTAATGTTGCATAGCCAAAAAGGAAGGAGAGAGAAGATATGGGACCACCTGGATGGGTAACATGTGTGTAAGATTTGCTTTTAATTTTGTTAGTTTTGGGCTGGACTTATAACATATGCAGCGTTTTTTTTAAATAAAAATTTGGGTTAGACGGGCACCTAACCTGTCCTATGCATAGAACCGCCCCTGAGACTAACTTTGCATAATACAGACCTAAGAAAAAAAAATAAAAAAAACTTTTCATTTCAACCATTTGCCAATGCAGTATATATATGGAAAATAAAGGATGATGATTAAAACAGTGACCATATGGTCCCCCTTAACACACGCAAGAAATCCATATGCATTTGGTCTATAGGACATGTTTTAACGTCTCAATCAAAGTAATATTTTCTCACCGTAAACCATACGGGTGCGAGAAAATATAGAAAATGGTTTCAAAATACAAATTTAGAAAGATAAATAAACAGTAGTGTTACTTTTTTTGGTTTTTTATTCGTTGCTGTAGTCAAGAAAAACAAAAATAGGAAAAATAGACATTACTAAACAAACCCTAATTACTTTCATGAATCTGCGACAGTGCCGAAAAGGAAAAGGAATAAAGAAAATACATCCGAGGAGCCTTAAAAATCACAGTCAAGCTACAGTGAGTGAGAGGTAGCAAACGTCTCCTATTTCCTGTAGTCAAGAAAGCTGATCTTGGTCCTTGCCTAAATACAAGATCACCATATTCTTACATATGTCGAATCATTTTATTTTTTGTTTTTATCGGATGGAATTTCATCAAAAGCAAGAAATTGTGTTTTTGTTGCTCGATCGTGTCACGGAAGTTTGAACCAGAGAAGAGGATCAAGAAGGAAGAAAATCGATTGATCTTTAGTTATTATACTTGATATATATATCAATGACGAACAAGAGAGATTCAATAGCAACAATCTTATGGGTGTCGCTGTTGGTGTTCTTTATTATTTTCCATGTTAGTCTCTCATCCAGGTTGAGATTACACTTCCAACAACTCAACCATTCGATTTCAACTAAGACTACAGCGCCAGGTTTTTGCCTAACTCTCACAACAAAATCTTCAATAAATTTCTTTATTCTTTTCTTTCCTTCTATCTTATCTTCTTTTTTCCTTTTCGTTTTTTTCTTTCTTTCTTTAACCCAATGTGTCAGGTTAAAGGTATGCTTATACTTAGTTACCCAATTGCATGTAACACCTTCATACATGCATGACTTCAGAATTAGTTTTACTCTAAATATCTACGCTTTATAACTTTTCGCGACTTGGATCTTATTGTATGTATTATTATTCTGTTCCGTATTGAGACTAATTGCATTCTCATGTGTTTTTATTGATATCGTTCCCTGAGAAATGTTGTTAATAGTGCAAAATAGTTCTTATCACATAGCAACTTCTTCATTAGGGTTTCTGAGAGTCAAATAACAACTCTTTTATTTTTCATTGATTTTCTTTAAAACCTTGATTAATGCGTTTCCCTACCATTTGATTGTGGGTTGCAGTTACTGTCAAAAATTTGACATCCAAATCAATGATCGGGCGGGACCCAAACTATTCGAGACCTTTGCAGTCCACTCCATCCACGCGGATCTCCTGTACCCGTTCTCACAAGTACTACGATTTCTGTTTCATCAACGGTTCAACAATTTTGGACCCCACCACCTCCACATTCTTCGTGGCAGACCCCGCAAGCCCACCCTTGGTGGAGAAAATCAAGCCCTACCCTCGAAAATTCGAGATTTCAACAATGTCGGGTATCAAAGAGCTGATCCTCACCTCAGGCCCACGAGGCCCAAAATGCCAAATCCAACACAATGCCCCAGCCCTTGTATTCAGTGCGGGCGGGTACACCGGAAACGTTTTCCATGATTTCAATGATGGGTTCATCCCTATCTTCATCATCACCAATTCCATCCTTCACGATCAAGAGCCGGTCCTCGTGATATCCAAGGCACGGGATTGGTGGGTTAGTAGGTACGGAGATTTACTACGAACCTTTACAAAGCACCCGATCATAAACCTCGATAATGATACTGCCAACCACTGTTTTACTTCTGCCAGTGTGGGTCTTATGTCCCATGGGCTTGTGACCATAAATCCTAAATTGTTACATACCCCAAAAACGCTGGTCCATTTTCATGGCATCCTAGACAAAGCCTTCCGCCGAAACCACCACCATTCTAGGACTTCGGATTCCCAGCCGCGCCTCGTCTTAATAAGTCGAACCGGCGGTGTTGGCCGGGAGATGTTGAACCAAAATGAAGTGAAGCAAGCGGCGGAGAAGGTTGGTTTTGAAGTTGTTTTTGTGCCATCTTCTACGACCGATATGCATGTGGCTTATAATTTACTTAGCAAGAGTCATGCAATGGTTGGTGTGCATGGAGCTGCCATGACCCACTTGTTGTTTATGAGGCCTGGCTCGGTGTTCATGCAAATTGTGCCTCTGGGCACCGATTGGTTGGCAAATGTGTGCTATGAAAGTCCAGCTAGGACCATGGGGTTGCAGTACATTGACTATAGGATCAATGTAGAGGAGAGCAGCTTGGTAGACAAGTATGGCAAGGATGATATTGTGGTCAAGGACCCGGTTTCTAAAATGGGTTCCAATTGGTCCATGGAGATTATGAAGATATATCTCAAGGAGCAAAACGTGAAGTTGGATTTGGATAGGTTTAATTGGTTTTTGAAGCCAGCTTATGACAAGGCCAAGATATTCATGGACAAGGAAGGGTAGTGCATGCTTATGTATGTTGAAAATAATGATTAGATGATTAGCTAAATGTGTTTTTTTGTTTCTTCTCAAAGATCAAGTTAATTGGTTAACACAAAATTTAATGACCTATTGGCAAGGGGCTTGTGATTGTTATGAGGACCCCTTAGTTATTCAATTAGTAGATTTTATTTTATCAACGGTAGTTCTATGTTATGATTTATTACTGGAATATTCTCTCTCCAATAAGGATTGGTTACATACTTCTAATATTGGCCGTTGGATTGCATTCATTAAATGTGTTGGTAGTCTCTTAGATGCAATCCAACGGCCGATATTAGAAGTATGTAACCAATTTTTAACTTAAATATACTTATTGGAGAATCTCCCTTTATTGATTAGGTAGTAACCAAGAACATTAAGAAAGGATTAGAACCTGCTAAAAGGAGAGAGATTTCAAAGCTACCTGACTAATCATGTACACAACCAAGCAAGTGAAAAAGTAGGGAAAAATCATGGCAGGTGCCGCTAGGTAGCAATGTTTGGTGTAACTGACACAACATACACGTCCAAGAAAACGAAAGATTTTTCATTAACTGCAAGAATCTAATTGGATAGCATGCTTAAGCAAGCTTTAATTTTGATAAAAAAGAAAGAAAAGTAAAAGCTTTAATTTTCAACTTTCTTCATGTTCAAGTTCATTTTCCTTGAGAAAAGCATCATCACCAGCAGCACAAGATCCAACCCTGGTATGTGAATTGGCACCTCATCTCATATGCTTGTCAAAATTCCAATTCCCATTTCACTCGTCTGTCACAAACTATCAGTCCCTTTAAAAAAATATATTTAATTAAAAAAAAGGGTAAAACGTGTTTACGAATGTCTCATCTCTTTTCTTTTTATCTCCCCCACATTCAATCTTCTTGTACAATTCCACAGTCTTTTTTTTTCATCTGCATCAAAAAGCAGATTCAAAATAAATGCCATCTTCATGAATCATATCAATACATATATATAGAGAGAATTGGGTTGATGACATGTTGTGAATATGTAGCAGAAAAGTGGGCCAATTAAGGAAGGATGAAGAAGACAGTTTCGAGGGCTGCGCTGGTGGGAGTGGCGTTGTGCTTGTTTTTCATTATTTTCCAGATCAGCGTCTCATCCACCTCCAGATTTCTTAAATATGCTACCAATTCACCCAAGCCTACTCAAGGTATGATCAAATGCATGCCTTTCCCATTCATTTATATTTATTATTATTTATTTCTAATCCATTTCCCCATCTTCCGTTTCTATTTATTTGTCAGACTCTCAGCCAATTATTTCGGTGTTAATTTGCATGTCCTCCACTTGTCCTCAAGATTTTTATTGGCCCACTCCACTGCTACCTAGTATTGTTTTTCTTAGTTACTATCCCTAAGCCCTGCATGTATCTAGCCTCTGGAAGTTTAAATTTTTATGTAGAGTTGAAGTGCTGAAGAAGCATCTGATGCCTTTATCGAAAACACTTTTACGAGCTAGAAGCACTTTGAGGTTTTTCTGTCGATCTTTCTCAGAAACGCTTCTAGTCCTACTGTCAGTATAAGACAAGAATAATATTGATCTTGCTAGCTAATTGTGATTATTGACTTGTCAATCTCTGTCATTTCTCACAAGTTAACATATGTTGTGCCATTGACCTTTCTGTTTTAATTGTTAACTTTCGGTTAAGTATATCTTAATTGATTCGTAATTACATGGAATTTGTCACAACTTGCACAATTATTCTCTGTATTATTTTGTACTATTTTCTTATTAAATTTTGATTTCAGAAAAAGGAACACGTAAACTGAAGGTTATCAGTCAACCAAACTCACACCCTCCAAAATCTTTGCGACTTCCGGTGGAAAGCCCAATCATCTGTGATCGTACTGATATACGCTATGATCTCTGCTCAATCAACGGCCCAACTGTTCTGGACCCCTCCAAGTCCACATTCTTCACTATAGGCTCAGCCCAACATTCAATCATGGAAAAAGTCCAGCCCTACCCTCGAAAATTCGAAAAATTCATAATGCCTCGCATCAAGAACCTCACACTCACTTCTGGACCACAAAGGCCACCATGTAAAGTCCCACACAATGTTCCGGCCCTAGTATTCAGCGCGGGAGGGTACACCGGAAACTTCTTCCATGATTTCAACGACGGGTTCATCCCGCTCTTCATCACCGTCCACACGGTCTTCCCTGACCAAGACTTCGTGATTGTGGTGTCCGAAGCTCCCAATTGGTGGCCTAGTAAGTATGCAGATCTATTGACCGTGTTCACCAAGCACCATATCATTGTCCTTAAAAATGATACTCCCACCCACTGTTTTCCTTCTGCCAAAATAGGCCTCGTATCACATGGCTTCATGACTATAAATCAAACTTTACTACCCAATTCAAAAACGTTATTGGATTTTCGAGTGCTCCTGGACGAAGCCTACACCCCACAAGCCCAACGCAAAGTCTTGACCTCCAAGCACAGAAATCCTAGGCCCAAACTTGTGCTGGCCAGCCGCAAAGAAGCCAAGGGGCGCTCGATCTTGAACCAAGAGCAAGTGATTAGGTTGATAAAGAAGGCGGGCTTTGATGTGGTTGTGTTTAAGCCCAATAACAAAACCCCATTGAATGAATCCTATGCATTGCTGAATTCAAGCCATGCCATGGTTGGTGTTCATGGCGCTGCACTTACGCACTCCTTGTTCCTTAGGCCAGGCGCTGTGCTTGTACAAGTGGTTCCGATTGGGGTCGAATGGGCGGCATATACATTTTTCGGGAGGGTGGCGAAGGGTTTACATTTGCAATATTCTGAGTATAAGATTGGGGTGGAAGAGAGTAGCTTGGTGGACAAGTATGGGAACGGCAGCTTGTTGGTGAAAGACCCATTTGCACTTCAGAAAACAGGCTGGGACCCTGAGATTATGGACATTTACTTGAAGGAACAAAATGTCAAACTTGATTTGATCAGGTTCAAGGCTTGCTTGAAGAAGGCTTATGTCAAGGCTAAGAGATTTATGGAGGCCAATGGTTGATTAGCGTTTTATTTTGGCGCTACGAAATAACTGAAGCAACATATACTGCTAACAATTTTAAGTTTTATTTATTTATTCATTTCAATAGGCAAATATTTGGGATTCTTTTTTCTTTTTTCCTGTAATGCTTGTCTAATTTAAAGGCCTAGTTTTTGAGAGAATTGAACTCGTTTATTTTATGATTTATAAAAAAGCTAGTAAGTTAGTCACCAAACAACTAGAACATGCATGCTAAGAAATAAATAATGACAAAGCTTAAGCTACCAATTTTCGGTATAAATGACATGCATACATGATACAACACTCGTCCAAGAAAACTAAAAAGATTTCTTTATATCACATCTAATTTCTTAAGCAAGCTTTAATAATTTTGGTTTTGTTTTGTTTTGTTTATTTATTTATTATACAAGCGATATTCTATTTTAATCTAATTTACATTACAGAGAGAGAAATTCGAAATCGAGTGTATAATGAGGAGCACATCCGTTTTATCCAACTTGACTAAGGGCTCGTTTGGGAGTGCTTTTAGAGTAGCGAAAAGCGCTTTTAAATGGGTGAAAGCGCTTATGTCTTTTAAAAATGGTGTTTGGCAAAAATTGCAAAAGCGCTTTAGGTGAGATCCAAAAGCACTTGGAGTGGTTTTGGAAGAAGCACTTGAGAGGTGCTTCTTCTTAAAAGCGCTGCAGGACAAAAACAAGGAAAGCACTTGGCTCCCTTTAATGAAACTTTTAAAATATCGAAAATATCCATATTTAATTTTTGTAAATGCCAAAATACCCTTTCTTTCTTTTTCTTTTTTTCTTTTTCTCTTTTTTTAAATTTCCTATATTTATTATAATATTTTGAGATTCTTTACATTTTTTTAAAGTACTTTTATAAGCACTTTTATAAAGTCAGCCAAACACTCAACAAAATATCAAAAACGCTTTTATATAGTGTAAAAGCACTTTTAAATGTGACATCCAAACAACAAACTACTTCTTTGTAGAAGTGCTTATGTCATAAGCACTTCGGGCATAAACACTATTGGCATAAGCGCTTCAAGAAGAAGCACTCCTAAACGAGCTCTAAGTCTGTCTGCTGATTTTGTTTTCTTAAAGATGGGAATTGAAGCTTAATTAGTTTCAAAGTAATTGCCCTCTCCAAACTTTGCTACCCAATTCGAAAACCTACATGGATTTTTGTCTGCTTCAAGACAAAGCCTACACCCCAAAGTCCAACCCAAAGTATTGACCTCCAAACCCACAAAATCTAGGCCCAGAATTGTGCTGGCCAGCCGCAACAAAGCTAATGCACGGTCGATTCAAAAGCAAGTGATTGGGCTCATAAAGGAAGTGGTTTGATGTGGTCGTGTTTAAGCCCGAGCTTTGCCAGGCCATGGTTGGTGCGTGTCCATGGTGCTTCAGTTACACACTCGTTGTTCCTCAGGCCAGGCTCTGTGCTTGTACAAGTGGTTCCGGTTGGGGTCGAATCGGCTACGTATGCATTTTTCGGGACGGTGGCACTGGCAGGCTTTAAATTTGCAATATTATGAGTCTGAGTATATAAGATTGGGGTGGAAGATAGTAGCTTGGTTGACTAGTATGGGAAGAACAATTTGCTGCTCAAAGACCATCTACCCTTCATAAATAAATAAAAAATGGTTGGCCAACTAAGATTATGGACATTTACTTGAAGGAACAAAATGTCAAACTTGAAATTTGACTGAGTTTGTGGTAGACTGGTAGTGGGTTTGTGCTTAATTTTTTATTGTATACCAAATCAGCATCTTATGATCCTCCAGATTTCTTAATGCAACCTATTCGAAGTTGAAGTTGTTTATAGCTATTTAAAATCTTTGTTTCCCCACATTTTTAAAAATTATTTTCTACTTAAACCTAAAATTATTACTTAAACACCATGTGATGTATTTGATATATTTATTTATTCTTTCATCAAATGTGATGCACTGGTTTAGCGCTGCGATAAGATTAGCATGTGAAAGATTTGAAAGCCAGTGTTTTGTTTGGAATGTTAGATAAGGTAATTTGAAGTCAGTTCTTTTTCCAACAAATAGAGGAGAACACCACTAGTTTAGTTGTAGTTGTTCAGTATGCGAATATTTTTTAAGATTACGTTTTTGTTCATGTGTCTTATCTTTGGACATTGGATAGTATTGGATGGTTATATAATGTATTGTACACTCTAGGCTCGTTTGGTACGCCGTATTAGACTTTAGATATGAATAAATAGTTCATGTCAGTTGTTTGGTATCAGCTTGTATTATTTAATTACTTGAATATTTTAAACGGGTTGGGCTTTTAATATTCTCCTTACCTGACTAATTAATACAACCCACACATATCGGTTTAGATAATACACACTTAATTATACGGTTAGGGAAAAAAAACATGTGTTCTACGAGAAAAATCAGACGCTCTTTTCATCTTCTTCTCCTTAGGGTTTTCCTCTGCTATATTCTCCACAAATTATTCTCTTCACTCTTCTCCAAGTATCCATCTCTCACTCTCGTTGCACACTTGCACTTGAATTAAACTCTATCCTACTACTCCCACAAGAGAAATCCTCAATCCAGTGGTTAGTTTCGCTATTCTCAATGCCAAGAAAAACCTCAATTTCAACCAAATTATCAAACCTTAAATGCCTCTGAAAACTATCATCAAAATCAAACTTGGGAATCAATATCACGCATACAGCATGAATAACAACACTCGACCTTATTTTTCAGCTCAATGATTTTTCTAACTCTTTTGTCAACCTGATGCCTTTCAGCTAAAACCATGGCTTCTCTCTATTCCGCATTTGAATAGAAAAGGTCTGAATTTACTCCAATATGATTCTTCTTGCTTCTTCTCTCTTCTTTAAATATTTCATCTTTTATTACATTTTTGTGGAAATTAGGTTATGAATTTTTCCTTTTTGACATTTTTCTTAATCGAATGTTTTCTTTGTATGTGATTGTGGGAACCGAATTAAATCAGACCTTAGGTCAAATAATTTCTTCCATTTGGGGATTATTTGACCAAATTGGGAATTACTCAACCTAATTGGGAGTTACTCAATTTAATTGGGAGTCCCCCAATTAAATTGAAAGTTATCTATTAAATAGAGAATTGATTTGATTTCTACCACAATTCCCAATTAAATGAGTAGTTACCTAATCAAATTAGGAATTGATTTAATACCTATCACAATTAGGAATTTGATTTACCATAATAAATCAAATCCCTAATTAATCAAATCAATTCCAAATCGGGGATGAATAATTCCTTTCCATTTACGGAATTATTCCTCTGAAACCCTAGCCTCAAAGACCACTATAAAAAGATGGCCACACAGAAAGGTTGAGGTACGTTTGAAATCTCTACTAAAACTCTGCAGAAAATTCCTCTCACAAACCCTAGCCACCTCCTTTCCCTCTCTCTTTTACAAAAGGTTCCGGCCGCCCGGTTTACACCATAAACGTATCTTCGTACCCTATTAGCTATTGTTTTCCATACGATTCAATTGAATTAATTTAGGCATCGGAGGGCCTTTGGCCAACACCCGCCGGGTGTGGCCCTCTTATTTGTTCTATTTTGCAGGGAGAAAGAGGCGGCAAAGAAGAAAGAGGAATCTTTCCAATCAAATATTCTCGTGGGGAAATTTGCTCCCACAATGATATAGTGATTAGACGTTGTCCATAACAACATCAAACACTGTATAACTTAGTCATACCATTTATCTAGAACAACACCAAACGCCTTATAATATTATGGATAAACAGTCAGTACTCTCCAAAACAGATTAATACTATTCGACTGAAATTAGTCAGTATAGTTCGACGTACCAAACGAGCCGAGTATTTTGTTTTGGAAAAAGCGTATTTTCCAACCAAAAATAATAAAATATCTCAAGTTCTTTTTGGTAGAAATAATCTTAAGTTTATCATTTAATGAATTTTGTAAAATGATAAAATTGTATTCATTATTTATGAAATACGGTACATGAGTATTTTTAGTGTGGTAATTATTGTTTACCGCCATAATTGTGAATATTAAGTAGGCTCTTTGTTCCCTGTGTTTGTATCAGGCCACGAATCTTTCTTAAGATTATGTTTTTTTATTCATGTTTTTCATGTTTGGGTATCAAATAGTATTGGATGCTTCACTGTTATCTAATGTATGGTGCTTATTTTGTCTTGGATAAAGCATTCCAACAAAAAGAATCTCAAGTTTATCATTTTAAGTAATTTTGTACAATGATAATTGTGAATATTAAGTAGGTTCTTTGATCCTCATGATTGCATTAGAACGTGAACATTTTTTAAGATTATGCTATTGTTTATGGCTCTCACGTTAATTTTCGAATGATTTATCCTATATGTTGTATATTCTTATGGTGCTTCGATTTTTGAATTAAGCATCTTTTCCAACAAAAAGAAGTGGGGGGTTTTTTTTTTTTGTTCCAACAACTCTAGGTGGACTTGGGCCATTGTAAAGAGAGAGTGAAATTGCCTCTTTGCCTGGGTTCAATAACTAGACCCCAAAATACTCCGGAAGAATGGTGATTCTTAGGGAATACTATGGTTTTCCTCACCAAGCAGATAATGATTGTCGTGAACTGAGATTTTGGCTTGGATTGAGTGGCTTGTGAAGTGGGAGCTAAGTCTCCTTGAGTTTAGCAAGAGTGTTTGCTTGAGTTGAAACAAGGTTTTGGTTGAAGGCTATTTTAGGGCTTGGAATGGTTTCTAATTTCTGGGAGAAGAAGATGATAGTTTCTGGGGGTAAAAGGAGAGGATGAAGGATTAAGCTTGAGTGTTTCCAGCAGTGGGTGTATGGCTTGCTCGTTGTGTCTTGTTATTGTTGGGTTAACCATTTCCCCATTTTATGGGCGCTAAAGCTCAAACACTTCTCAAGCGATCAATGAATGAGCGATTGAGTCTTTGGCAAAAGTTGGTGAGACAATGAATTTGTTTATGATGTTTGAATGTGGTTTCAGGTGACAAAAGGTAAGAAGTTGGGGGTTGGATAATAAGTGCGGGAAACGCTGGTAGTATAAACGGTGGATTTAGTGCTGGAAGGTAGGAAATTGTTGGTCAGATAATAAAGGCTGGAAGAAGATACGCTCTCTGCTTACCTACTCAATAGGCTTAATAGAAATGGACTTGGGTTTTGGTGCTCCCAAGCAGCCCAAAACCTCTATTTCTTGAACATTTTGATGGGCCTCATCGATCCTTATAACTATCCACACCACAACCCGCTCAGCAAGCTTCATGCATGTATGTGGCTTGAGCCCACTTAAACTTGTCGAGTGGTTTAGCATAGGATAATGTATTATTTGCTTGGCATGACATATATACTATTTATATATTTATTGAATGGATAAATTTCCGAAATACAACTTGGATTAATGCATGACCAATATTATATGTTATATTGGGTTTCTCATGACATTTTGGCCTCAACAGCCAGAAATAATCTCAAGTTTATCATTTAAGTAATTTTGTAAAATGATAATTGTGAATTTTAAGTATTCTTTGTTCCTCATTATTGCATTAGAATGTGAACATTTTACGCTATTGTTTATGTCTCTCACGTTAATTTTTGAATGATTTTATCCTATTACGGTGCTTCTATTTTTGAATTAAGCATCTTTTCCAACAAAAAGAATATCAAGTTTTTTTTTTGTGCCAAAAATAATCTCAAGTTTATCGTTTAAGTAATTTTGTAAAATGATAATTGTGAATATTAAGTAGGTTCTTTGTTCCTCGTGATTGCATTAGAACGTGAACATTTTACGCTATTGTTTATGGCTCTTATGTTAATTTTCGAATGATTTTATCATATTATGGTGCTTCTATTTTTGAATTAAGCATCTTTTCCAACAAAAAGAATTTCAAATTTTATTTTTTTGCCAGAAATAATCTCAAGTTTATCATTTTAAGTAATTTTTGTAAAATGATACTTGTGAATATGAAGTAGGTTCTTTGTTCCTCATAATTGTGTTAGAACGTGAATATTTTTTTAAGATTACACTATTGTTTATGACTCTCATGGTAATTTTCGAATGATTTTATTCTATCCATTGCATATTCTTATGGTGCTTTTATTTTTGAATTAAGCGTCTTTTCCAACAAAAGAGAAGTAGGTTTTTAGCATAATTGTGAAAATTACGCATATGAAATCTGGAGGGAGAGATTATGTGGCAGTGTCAAATTTGACCAAATTAGTTCTACAATTTTTATTTTTATTTTTCGCACGTGTGCAATCACATGGGTTTCAAAATAGCGGTTGTGTAAGTAAGCACGGGGGTGCAATTAGATGGACTATAAATAAAACGTTCGATCGCATACGTAATACGTTAATCTTCTCCCTCTCTTTCACTCCCAAATCAAATCAAGCCAGTAAAATCACCACCACCACCGCCATGGATGCCCAGCTGCTAAAAGCTTCAATGCTTAGCCCTTCAGCCCCCAACACCTCAAGATCTTCAAGACCCACTCCCCATTTGGTCTCGCACACCATTTTTAAGACCACCAACAATGTCTTTCGATCCAACCCCGGGAGAAAACCGTGCCATCCTCTCCGAGTTTCTTCTTCTCCAACCTCTCCCATCAGGTACAGTCTTATACACTGAATTTTGAGTACCAGTATGTTCATCTACATTGATTAGGCTCATTTTCATTGTTGTTGTTATGAGAAATGTATGCTTGTTTGTGAAAGAGAGTAGATTGGGATTTGATTTCATATACCCTGCAAGTACACTTGTTTGCCAGGAGGGTTTCTGTATGATCTACTTGCAAGGAAGGTTTGGTTTGGTTTTTTTTTTGGGGTATAATGTACACTCGATTAGGAAATTTACAGCACAGTTCTGGAACAGAATCCCATTAGGATTTTACCAATCTAGTTAAATCTTAGATAGCTTTCAAATGGTGGTTAGTTTATATTTTTGAGTATTTTCTGGTGAATCAGTCAAAGTTTTGCCACAATCAGTGTAATTATTAGAGAACTCTACTCCTGGCATGGTAGCTTTTCCAGAACCAGGATATACATTGCAAAGCAACCTGTTAAGGCTACCAATGTAGTCCAACAGTTATTTATGATTTTGCCTGCTAGAAAGCCCAATCTTGGTTTTTTCTAGCAGTGGATTAAATTATTTAATTATGATCAGCTGACTCATTTGATACTTTTCATTTGTCGGGACTTAGGTGAGGTGGTTTTGTTATTTGTTTGTACTTGCAAATGGATTACTTTATTATTATGCTTGAGATCGAACGAGAAAATCAAGCTACTGTTACAAATAAAATAACTTGGGTATTCCAGCCAAATGCTGCATATGTTATAAACTCATGTTACGTTTATCCAGGCAACCATAAATTTATCCATGGCATACTTAAGAAATCATAACTAGTTCATATGCACAGAACAATGACTAGGTATCATGAGGGTTATGTTGTCTCATTTGACTGGCCATTTTTGGCAGGCTAACCTCTAATATTGCGTATTCTATTTCATATAGATATTCAAGGAAGAAAAGGGTGGATGAGAGTGAAAGTTTAACTCTAGACAGTATAAGACACTCTTTAATTCGACAAGAGGATAGCATAATATTTAGCCTTTTGGAGAGGGCTCAGTATTGTTATAATGCAGACACATATGACCATGATGCCATATCGGCAGAAGGATTTCGTGGGTCGCTCGTTGAGTTTATGGTCTGGGAAACTGAAAAGCTCCATGCGCAGGTAATCGAAAAGAGATTAAAAAGATTAGTATAACTACTACAATCCTATTGTTAATGAATGCTAAGCACTACACCCGAAGAAGGGAGCCCCTGTCATAATGTCAGAAATTTTGTTAATTGATTTTCATTGTGCAAGCCAGGTTGGCAGATACACGAGCCCAGATGAGCATCCTTTCTTCCCAGCATATTTACCTGAGCCAATGCTTCCCCCTTTGCAGTACCCACAGGTATATTGCTAATATACAGAATCTGGTACTTACCTATGTTAATGTGATCTATAAATTCAAAGTTCTCATCTAGAAAATTTGAAGGTACTTTTCATTGATGTTATTGCTGAGTGTGGTCTTTTTCTGATGTGCAACTAGGTTCTGCATCCTTGTGCCGCTTCAATTAATATAAACAATAAGCTTTGGAATATGTATTTTAGAAACCTTCTTCCCAGATTAGTCAAAGCTGGAGATGATGGTAATTGTGGATCAGCTGCTGTTTGTGACACACTTTGTTTGCAGGTAAGCCATTCAGCTACTCTTAACTGAATTGTGTAGATCTTCATGATTCTCAGTTCTGTAAATTTAATTTTTAAACACAAGATACGATAAAAACTAGCTAAACACACATATAATATAGTTTAGGAAGTTAAGTGTCGCATTGTAATAGTTGAGAGGCTTGTTTTTATTTGTTCTCTGTTTTCGTCTCTTTTGTCTGTGGCGTCTGGCCTGGGCGGGCCTTCTAGTTGGCATTTTGTCTGTATTGGCTTTGGTGCCTTTTGGCCTTTATTGAAATGTTTCTTCAGACCAAAAAGAAGAAAAAGTATTACATTATAAGGTTCAGGGGGTATTAGTGAGTTTTCTCCTTGCTGCACAGTCTTCCTCTCTGAATTTTCAGTCAATATGCATATATTTGCAATGCTCCTTATATAAAGAATTTGCCCTTATTGGTGTCAGAGTCTACATCAATCGTTGTTAACCTAAAAATCCTTCCACTGTTCGATGTTTGTCACAACAGGCACTGTCGAAGAGAATCCACTATGGTAAATTTGTTGCAGAGGCCAAATTTCTTCAATCCCCTGCTGAATATGAGACTGCCATTAGAGCACAAGTAAAGATCCTTCATCTCATTGATGTGCCCTGATTTCATGCCTTGCTTGATGATTTATAATGCCACATTTTAATGCTTTTTGTTTTCTTTCTTGTGGTGGTATGTGGTTGTTGCAGGATAGGACTCAATTGATGGCCTTGCTGACATTCGAAACAGTGGAAGAGGCGATCCAAAAGAGAGTAGAGATGAAGACCAAAACTTATGCCCAAGAATTAAAAATCCACCAAGAGGAAGATGAAGCAAGTCCTGTATACAAAATCAAGCCGCATTTAGTTGCTAGTCTGTATCGAGATTGGATCATGCCTCTGACAAAGGAAGTTCAGGTTGAATACTTATTGAGAAGATTGGATTAAAAATGAAAAAGAAAAAGAAAAAAATTAAGTTACACAGCCATCTTGTTTTTTAGAGTTCCACCCCTGGCGGGATTTTATAATTTATTGCGGATGTGAAGGACTTGTAATTGAATGAACTTGTCATTCTTATCTTTGAGAAACTCAACTTACATGAAAGATTTGTCAACCAATTTTTTCCAAATTAGGGCTTAAAGGATTCTTCCTGCATGTATGTCCAAAGGTCGTGGTCACTGGTCACTGACTGTGGCCTGGAAATTACGCGACCTTTGACCCCACCATGTGCAGAGCAACTTTAGCATCCAAAAGGGTAACAAAATATGTGACATGTCGTTGAATAGTTTTTACCTTTATTTATTTATTTATTTGTAAACTAAAGTATTAAACTTTTCTTTAGTAAAAACAAAAGAACATACCGAGGGAAATTTTGAACCTTTTTTTTGTGTCTCTTGTTTCTCGGGTCTGTCTGAGGGAAGGTTTGAAACTTTGAATTGAAGCCATAAAAACTGTAAAAATCGGCGGCCGACTCACGAGGCAGCATGACTTTACTCTCTCGCTATAAATTCGTCTTTTGTTGATAATTGAGAGGGCGCATGTTTGTCTCCATTCCCCTCCCGCTTCAGACTTGACGAGAGCGATTACTTTATATATATATATACACTCATCACTGCTTGCTTACTCACGACCAGTGTACTCATTAGAGAGAGAGAGAGAGAGAGAGAGAGAGAATGGAGAGAGCTCTAACAAAAGTGAACAGCTTAAAAGTTGGAAGCTTGTGGATCTCAAAGAAGGCTAAGGAAGAGTTCTCTAACATCTCTGACGACCTCACTGTAAGTACAGATTTTGTGCCCTTTTTGCTTTTCCTTTGTGTAATGTGGCTTGAATGAAGTTTGCCTAGTTCATGATTTTCTGCCAATTTTGCTTTCCTCGTGTGTAATTACGGGTGGATGAGATCTGATCTGTTAGGTTTTTGGCTGAGAAAAAGTGAGTTGGAGGATGGGTTTTGGATGAATATGAGAATAGAGGAATGGGGGTGGATGATTTAGGATTTTTTAACGATTTCCAGTTTCCCTGGTTCATTCATGATGTCTTGTCTCTGGAAAACAATCGCTTGTTAAACCAAACATGGGGTAACCAAATTGAGATTTTGTGCATTCTTCTTAATTAGTATGTTTGTTGGTGCAGACTTTCTCAAACACTGTCGAGGAGAAGGCAAAATGGGTTTTCAACAAACTAAAAGGTGTGGAACAATATCTACCATAGTATCATTAGTATGCCTAAATGCAGACCAGGCAATATTTTGAACTTGCAGCATATTATTATTATTACTTGTCAAATTCATTTCATGTTAAACCAACAGCATTCTTTCTTGTTTATTGATCAAAAGATAGTTTCTCTTCTTTGTTGGTTCACCTACAGGAAAGCCACCAAAAAGCTTACCAGATCTCCTTCGAGAGTACAACTTGCCGCCGGGGCTCTTTCCGCAGAACATAACCTGTTATGAGTTTACTGAATCAAACGCCAAGCTGATAGTGTATTTGCCCTCTCCATGTGAAGTTAGCTTCAAGGATTCTTCTGTTATACGGTACGCAACCCGGGTAAAGGCAATTCTTCTCAGGGGAAAGCTCACAGGAATAGAGGGAATGAAGACCAAGGTTGTAGTATGGGTTAAGGTCACTTGTGTGGCACTCGAAAGTTCCAAGTCCGATAAGGTGTGGATTACAGCCGGCGTTAAGAAGTCAAGACCCAAGGATGCCTATATAACACCCCGTGACTCTGTTCGAGTAGAAGAATTCTAAGCTTTTAGAGTAAAATGTAATGGGAAGATGATCTGAATTCTTGCTAGCTTCATACTTAATTGGCATTGGCATTTATATAGCTGCTTCTTGTTTGATTGCTTCAAATGCAGAGGATTGTTATGTGGTTATCTCACAATTTGGCCGTTGGATAAATATTATTGGGATCAATAATGCAATTGCTTCTTTTGCACTTGATGCGCATTGTGTTTTAGACATTTTATACAGTAAAACTCAATTTTATATTGAAACTAGCAATTCAATTAGGAGTGAATCTGAGAATTTTTGACAGTTTGAAAGAATATTCATAAAAATTCACTTTTCTTTGTCGACAAAATTTTCTATAATAGTGGCTTTGGCTGCTGCAACTTTTCTCATCTACTTCTCAGATCACAAAGAAGCTGCAGTTGAATCACGAACAATCTCGTATAGTGATATAATGTTCTCTATACTCAATAGGAAGATGATGCACCATTCCAGAAGATCCGACTTTCTATTTTGAAGGACTTCTTGCAAGAAATGAATGTTGTGCTGCAAAGAAAGAGCGGTTTAGTTCAAAGAAAATATGAAATTATTCAAAGACAATATCTACACCTGCAAAATACCATCTTACAACTTTCTATAAGTAACTTCTTGTCCATACGCTTTTCCAAGTAATATGTCCTAATTATATCCTCTTTTCAGTCAACCTCTTATGAGACAGAAGTAAGTCTCCACAATTTAAGAACCAAGATGAATTTATAATGCTTACAAGGGAAAAAATACCTCTACAAATTTTAATTTGAAATCCAAGTTTCCAAAGCGTTGTGTAACTTCATACTCTTCCCGAAGATACTCATGTATTTTAGCATATTTTGCATCCCTCCAAGCAATTTCTGATCTGATGGATAAGGAACAAAATTAATATGAGAAGCTGCAATGTGAAGTTGTGAACCAAGCTGATGTATTCAAGTAGTTGAAGCAATGTTAGATAAGAAAACATGTCAACTGATGAAATTATAAAATTTGGGTTTAAAACGATCTTAGCTCAGCCAAGTCCGTAGTATATTTTCTGAATTTTCAAAATAAGTTGGTACCAAGATTTCTAATCCAGAACAGGGGAGAAGTTGAAATCAATGAGAAGAAGAAACATATTCAATTTCCAGGTCAGTAAGAAAACTAGATCATGTATACAGAAGGACCAACTCAAAATGCAAAAGAGTATCACCAAAAATACCCAAGGACAGCTATAATGGTATTACCTCTCAAAAAGACCAACTTTAAGAATTACATCAGCTAGGTTTGAGTTAGCCTTCCCAACAAGTTGAAGGAGCTTCTTTTTATGCATTGTGAAAGTTCCAGTTTTCTCCATGCCACGATTTATATCTGCAAACTCTTCAACCATACCATCAACCTAGAGAGAGAGACCCACACGACCGCAGCGTGGGCAAGGAATAGAGAGATTTAGATTGTAATGATATAAGATTCAAGGATCTCCAGAGAATTTGAAATGCCTGTGCTGGCTTACGGAAAAAGTGAGATAGATACACAATGCGATCTTTTCGTATAAAATTGAATCCTGGATAAGAATTACCTGCGATACAAAATAATCTAAAGCAATGCTTTGGCCAAGCACACTTCCAATAATGCGAATAGCATCAGTGTCCAAAGTTTTAAGAACTATGTAGTCTGGGCCACCCTGCATGTCCTCCTCCAGCTTTGGCTTCTCTCTTACAGCATAATCTAATGCAAGCACACAGAAAGAGCCAAACAGTAAATTAATTATCATAATAATTCAAAATGTTTCAACCTTTTCCTTTTCAGAGTACATCAATATCTAGAAAAAAATTAGCATTTGAGGATTCAGTGGAGTTGAACTTAAATAATGTGTAAGATCAAATCAAGAGCTCAAATGAAATAGAACTTAAAGAATTTTACCGTCTTTCCTCATCTCTGGAAGTAATCCAGAAGCATGCCTTATAACTATATCAAGGTAAGCTCCAACTTCATGGTCCTCAACATTAAACAGAACGGCAGATCCATACTGGAATACGACCATGTAACGACAGTAGCTCGGTTTCCCCCAGACTCCAAGTTCCTAAACGACAGCAGAACTGTCATATTAATTATACTCAATGCTGCTATTAGTTATTACCAAAAAAGAAAAGTAGACTTGTAGTCAATAGGACATCAATCAGTCATTCCATATGTACCATATCCCAGAAAGTATATGAAGAAAATAGCTTAGTCAACTATGCAAATTCAAGCAACAGTTTCGACACTAGAGACAATATGCTCATAGCAGTTGGTCAAAATAGCTCCATAGGTTAGTACGAGGAGTGATCAAGGTTCCATTGGACCATCTGAATGACCACATACCTCTTCACAGGGGACAAAATAACAAATAAACAAAAAATATCTGGTTGGCAAACTAGCCTGAGGAGACATGCAGTTGTAACTCTGTTCTGAATTATGAAAAAGGTATTCAAAATTGCTTAAAGCAAATTAGTATAAAATTAAGTTCAAATTTCCTCTTATTATTGCTCAAAAAGAAAAATGAATGCATTGCACTGCCTCAATGCAAATTTAATGCCCCAAAAATCATTTCTTTATATATATATATATATATATATATCATGAGGCAGAATAGTCTGAACAAGGAAATTTAGTTAGAAAAAGAACTTCAACCAAGCAAAGTATCTGATTAATAAAATCATCTTACAGCATTTTGTGAAGGGAAATCGCAAAATCTGAGGGCAATATAATTTGTTGAGCGAGAAGAAGGAGGAATGACATTGCTTAAATTCTCGGCTTGCATGCTCTTCAAATTGATACTGCGAAAACCATGAATCTGAGAAAGCCAAATCATAAAGAACACACAGCCAGAACAACTGAGAAAATGAGAGAGAACAAAAAGTGGAAGCGCCCCAGTACAAAATTCGTGACAGACCCAAAAACGAAAATCAGAATCCCAGATCAAATATAAGAAAATGAAGAGCATAGAAGCATTAAAACAGTATCAAATAGTCAGAAAGTTGAAAACAATGGCTTAAATCAATGTTCTTTTAAGGAAAGTGATTAGCTTGAAGAAACCATATGAGCCTATATCAAACGAAAAAACACATATGAAGATAGACCCACATAAATATATATCGGAACAATCAAAACCCGCATGAAGATTCAGAGAAGTAAGAGCTATAATGGCTAACCTGGTACAAAGAAAGTAGGCTTTAACAGGAACTTTTTTGGTTTCCTCGTCTTCTTGAGCTTGGCTGTGGGCATAATAAGGAGGCTCAGAGTCATAATCATTGGTATCAATGGAAACCCGAGATGGGATTGCAGAGAAAGGTATTGAATTGACGAAGTGAAAGCAGAAGATGGGGCTTGAAGGACGTGAGAGATGGAAAGGAGGCTTCGCAGCTACAGAAGATTTGGAAGCTGTGGTGGCTACGTGATTGAGGAGAAGAGAAGCGGCTCTCCACCTCCCCATTCACTGAAATTCAAGGTTTTGGAAGTTAATTTTACTGCCGTGTTTGCCGTTTCTTCGGTTTTTCTCAAGTGGAGCAAAGTTTTGTTAGTTGTTGACTGCAGCTTGTCTTCTATTCCAACTTCGTTGTAAATACGACATCTCGTTTTATATGAAAATAAACGACGTGCAGTGTTTATTGCTCAACAACCTAAACCCCCCTTTATTTTTATTTTTTTTTAATTTTTAATTTTGTTCAGAAACAAACCAGAACCTTTGAAATTGAAAGGCTGAAAGCCAGTCCCTTTGAGCAAACGGAAAGCGCGAGGAATACAACGAGTATCTGAGCAGAGAGACTGAAGACGAAATATGGCTGTTTTTGGTGATCTGAGGGTCTCAGCAACACTGGCTTCTCACACAACGCACTCTCTCCGGAGCTCTTTACCCAATTCAAAGGTCTGAGTTTTTTTCTTGACCCTTTTCTTGCCAGTGTTAATTCTCATGTTTTTTTTCCATTTTGTTTCTGATTTGAAGTGGGTTTCATGCATTTCGTCATATTTCGCTTTCTGGGCTGTTTGGTTCTCGGGAAAGCGTGAGAAATGAACAGAAACTTTGGGTTTTGGTTGAGGTCAACTGTGCGATACCGATTCCCCCTTTCCCCTTGTAGACAACGTTTCCTTTGTTGGAAGACGGAGATGTTTAAGAATTGGGGTCTGCCATAGAACATAAGTTTGAATCATTGTTGCTAAACTACCAGTTATTTTTGAAGCTCAAGTTCACAGACAAAAAGAAGGTGAAATTCGGTAATTTATGCGCATTAACCTGAATTGTATTTCCCGCTGGACTGATATCTAAAAGGAAAATGCTGCGGTGGTAGAATGAAGGTCCTTGAAAGTATTGCTTGTATCTCATTTGACTCGGATTTCACTTAATATCGTCTGTCTTCTGAGTCTAGTCTCCAAGTCTTAAGGTCATGTAAAGCGGTAAGCAAATGAATACACTCGCTTATTATTCACTGAAGGGTTTTTTTTATGTTTAAGTGGGATATGTCTAAATGGAGCACTCTTAGGTAAAACTGAAAGCAGATATGACATTGTGATTGTGGACTTCTTGTCATAGTCATCATCAAGCTGACCATGGTGTTCGTCAGATTAATACTTGCTTGTTTTCTTCCTTTGCTGTCATATTGGATTGGGTTTGTCATCTAGGTGATCGATTCTAGATTGCCTTTGAGTTATCCATTCAGCTATGGTGTCTAATTAAGATCTCCCCTGGTTTTTGTATCCACAGTTAAGTTTATTCTTCTAACTTAAGTTGAAGCAGAAATTGAAGTGTTTCATTTCTTTATGGTTAGTTACTTGCAATGATCTGCATGGTTGCTCTGATGGTGCCCCTAACGTTTTTTCCTTATTCATGAAGGGAAAGAAATCCTCACTTTCATTTTAATATTGAGAACCCATCAAGTGAACTTGCTCCTAATTTTCAAATTTCATCAGATGGTTTAATTATATATGCAAACGTCTTCCTCTGAGTCTGCTCAACTACCAAGTTTTGTTTTGTGTTATAGGTAGACTTTGCTAGCTTTTCAAATGGAGGATCTAGCATTTCTGACATTGCACTGAAGTGGCCCAGTATGTCATTTGATAGACGCAGTTTTCGTCAACATTCCAAGCGATTGAGTGGAGATTTTCAACTCTCATCAAAGTCAAGCAGCCAAGATTCCGAGAGCTTCCTCCTTAATGCCATCAACATGAGTTTCTTGGACCGTTTAAACTTGGCTTGGAAAATAATGTTCCCGTCTCCAACAACTAGAAGGAGCTCTAATGCAAATATTGCCAAGCAGCGCTTGAAGATGATCCTCTTCTCTGACCGATGTGCAGTTAGTGATGAGGCTAAAAGGATGATTGTCAACAACATTGTGCATGCTCTATCAGATTTTGTTGAAATAGAATCACGAGACAAAGTTCAGCTGAGTGTGTCTGCTGATACAGATGTGGGAACCATTTACTCCGTCACGGTGCCTGTAAGACGGGTTAAGCCAGAATATCAGATTGGAGACGAGACTGGAACCATAACAAATATTGAGTACAAAGATACCGGAGAAAGTTCTGGTTCTGTTGATGTCAAGTTTGATTTCTTCATTCCCGACTGAAGGAACCCAATGAGTTTTAGGTTCAAGAAATAGGTTGTGTTTCTCTTTTAAATGTTGGGATTGGACCTTGTTCTTCTGTACATAAATGAAAAAATCCTGTAAGGCGATTAGAGATGTGTTTTTCATCTGTCGAATCGAATCCACGGTTTGGTTTTAGTTTTGGCTTTAATTAACTTTAGCAGTGTGTGATTTTGTCTGTTAGTCAGCTTATCAAGATCATGACAGATTTTGTGACTGGTATGATATCGAAGCCTGTTTTCTGTTGATAACATCAGTGGTCTTGACTCTTAAGCACAATCTTTAGGGAGCCTGTATATATAGGTGAATATGCTTTTTGTGGGATTAGTTATTGGTATTGTCCAAAAGACCCGAAAATACAAATTGGCAAAAAGTCATTTTAGGTCCCTATGGTTTCAATTTTGTCACTTTTGTCCCTGAAGTTTCAATTTGAACCAATTTAAGGACAATTCCCAAATTCTGATACTTATTGAGGGGCATTTCGGTCCAAACTTGCAGCACCTCCCCAACTACCCTACAGCCACCCAGCAGCCCCTCCAAAAACTTATCTCTGTTGTAAACCAGCAACAAACAATGCTCCATTTGAATTTTTGTTGATAAAAATTATGGCCATCTATAAATAAACATCAACTAACAAAATCATAATTGAGCGGGTCTTAGGATTACATAAGGGAGATACATTTCTTTTTTCTTTTTTTCATTTTCCTAAACCCAAATAAAAACTCACAATTATAATCATAATCCATCTCATTTCTTCATAAGGGATGAAAGTAATCTCCAGCCAAAAAAGAAAAACAAGGTAGCCAGAGCAAGTCTACTTCGGTCTTTTGTGAGCTTCATAAAAGTAGCCTTGGATTACAATAGCATCATCAATTGCAGCTCTTACTGCACCTTGTGCTAATTCAACATAATCTCTATAAAAAAATTATTAATGAAGGTTGTATAATGGTACCTCTCTTTGTACACCTCCAAGGAGCATTGTTTGTTGCTAGTTTAGACAGTGGGACTGTCAATGTTTAGAACAGGGAGGAGTTTTTGGAGGGCTAGTGGCGGTGGAGGTGGTTGGGGAAGGGCTGTAAGTTTGGACCGAAATGCCCCTCAATAAGTATCAGAATTTGGGAATTGTCCTTAAATTGCATCAAATTGAAACCACAAAGATAAAAGTGACGAAATTGAAACCACGAAGACTTTGGTAGTAAAAGTGGTAAACCACAGGGATCAAAAGTGACTTTTTGCCCTATTTAAGCAAAAACAAAACTCATTAATACCACGTTGATATTGGTCCATCAATGTAAACAAAAAAAATTATTGGTCTATCAATCATGATCTATCTCCAAAAATAAAATAAAAACAAACAATAAAACTCCAGAAATAATAATAATAACAACAAAAAAGGGAAAAAAAGCGGGGATTGAACCCGACGTGAATCGAACACGCAACCTTCTGATCTGGAGTCAGACGCGCTACCATTGCGCCACGGATCCACTTGTTGTTAATCATCACTAAATCTATATTAAATCATTAAGTACTAATATGGCCTGAATTTAAATTCAGCAGATAATTATTCCTCATTGAGCGGGAACTTTTCAGGTTCTCTCTCCCTCCCAAATCTTCACTGGCCAAGTTCTAGGGTTTTCTGGAACCTAAAGAGGCGAATCGTCTCCCTTTCTCATTAATTCTGAAGAAATTACTGAACTTTCTGTCCCCAATTCCATGTTCGTTCTCTGTTTCGATGCGTTGAGTAAGTTCGGTCTGTAAGTGCACCAAAATGAGCGGAGCTGCCTTGAAGTTCGAAAACCCGATCCGAGATGCAATTTCCAGAATCCGGTTCGCTCCGAAATCAGACAACCTCCTCATCTCTTCTTGGGACTCTGTGAGTGGTACTATACTTTTGGGCTCAACAATGTGGAGTTCATAGCACTTTTGGCTTTTCAATAATAAAAGTCGTTTCTTTGTGCAGAGCCTGAGATTGTACGACGTCGGAAACTCGGCACTCAGGTTAGAAGCTTCGTCGGAAGCTGCGCTCCTCGATTGTTGCTTCCAGAACGAGTCCGTCGCTTTTAGCGCTGGTTCTGATGGCTTCATTAGAAGGTATGCGATTGAAATGAACTTTAATCACATCCTTAATGTTGTAATTTGCAGTTTTAATTAAGGGGTAATAGTAATTTTCTGAGAGGCATTTAATCTTAAGCTGGTTCTCATGTCTGGGACTGTTCTGAGTTTCTTATGTTTTCTTCTAACATTTGAATTTTCTGGGATTTTGTGTTTCATGTGTTCAAGGTATGACTTGCATTCTGGAATTCATGATTCAATTGGAAATCATGATGACACATCAACATGTGTTGGATATTCTGATGAAACCTGTAAGCTACCAGTACTATTTCATTCTCATTGTTATTGGATTCTTATTTACCTTCTAAATATAGTCTTTAAACTTTACACAAGTGTTGGTTTCTGTTTTCAAATTTTCTGTAGATGCTAGGGAAAAAGTGAAGTTACTTTTTTGTTAGGTGATAGAATTAACAAGGATAATGAAAGTTTTGATAGTATTTGTATATAAATCTTTTGCGTAAAATTTCATAAAGCTCGGGATTACCATAACTGCATTTCTAGCTTATTCTGTATAGTACTGAACATAATTGTTATCAAGTTTTCTCTTAAAATTGTTGTAGCCCAAGTAATCACTGCTGGTTTGGATAAGAAGATATTGTCATGGGACACACGTACGCCGAAGGGTATTGCATGTGTAAGAAATATGGATTCAGAGGTGATGTCCATGTCACTCTCAGGCTTTGATATGATGGTAGCCGTTGGAGCATCAATATGTGTATATGATTTGCGCAGGCTAGAAAAACCATTTCAATCAAAAGATTCGCATATGGGTGTTCAGATTGTATGCGTTAGTTCAATTCCGTATGCCAAAGGTACTATCACAATACTTCGCGTAGCAGTAGCTCATTAGAACATCCTACCAAATGTTTGCTTGAATTAAATACTTTATATTGACTCCATGTCCACTTGTTGATTTAGCATTACAAATCACAACTTGTATTTTATAAAAGTCTTTGAATTGTCTTTGCAGGATTTGCAGTTGGCTCAGTAGATGGACGTGTAGCATTGGAGATTTCCTGCCCATCGAATTCAGATGACATCAGGTCAATTCTCAGAGTCTATGTTATTATTAGCATGCCCAAGCCTGCCATGATATGCAATATTTATTCTTTTGGGCTTGAGTCACACTTTGTCATGAATTTTCTCACAGATGCTCTAACATTTGTCTCAGATATATGTTCCGGTGTCATCCAAAGTCAACTGACAGCAAATATCATCTGGTGTCGGTGAATGACATTGTATTCAATCCGATGTATGTGTAACTCTATCAGCTTTAACCAACTTCCATAATGAAAACTTACTTTTTATTTGATGTGTCTGCTCTAGCATCTACGGTGCCTTTGTTACTGCTGACAATGAGGGTTATGTTACTGCATGGGATGCTACAAGCAAAAGGAGGCTGTTTCAGGTATTTTTCACTAAATTTGGATGGATTTTGCTTATTCTCCAATCAAAGTGAATGTATTTTGCCTTAATTGCTTGACGTAGTTGATTTAATTGTTGAAGTGTGCTCAGGTCTTACTATTTTCTATTAGCTTGTGTAACCTCTACATATTTTCAGTTGCCTAGATACCCAAACAGTGTGGCATCCTTATCGTACAATCACAGGGGACAACTTCTGGCTGTTGCATCAAGCTACACATATCAAGAAGCTAATGAAATGTTAGTAAATTTTGTACTGTGATTCACTTTTTCTGTGTCCTTTATTACTGTCAGCGTTCTATATTTCTCAAGTGTGATTCCATTTGTCAGAGAAGAGCCTCCTTTGGTATTCATACATGAAGTTGACAATGACAACATGAGATCTGTATCTGTTGGAAGTTCAAGCAGAAGATAATTGTACACAGTCGGATGAAGGTAAAGATCTACAGGTACTCAATAGGCTGGATGCTGATGTTTAATCTAGGATGAGCCAAACTCACTTCTGATATCTTGGACTATGGACTCAAAGCCTTTGGACTAACTAAATGTACTCGAAATTTGCCCAATTTTCAGGATCATGTGTAAAGTTATGATGCTCGTGGCGTCCTTGTATATTAAGTGTTGCCCTTCCTGAACATGGAGGAAATGCTATACCCACCGAAATTGGATGAATAGTCAGCTGCAAAATCTAGAATTTTAGGAATTGCACCTGTTGTAGAATGGTGTTGACTTTTGTAACGTTCTTCTAGACAGAAACTACTTTCATGAGTTTTGCTCTACTGGTTGTATGAAGCATGCTTGTTTATTTGTTTGTATTAATGTGACCCTTCCACATAAGCCTGCAAATCTGTGAAGCCATTTGACTCAAGTTCTTTTTATTTTTTATATACAAGCGATATTGGGGAGAAGACATTTGAATATAAGACCTTGGACGCAGAAGTAACTGCTCTTAACCATTTAAGCTACAAGCTCCTTGCTTATTTAGCTTGAGCTGAGCAAAATTACTTCATGTAAATTGATTACGGTATTCATAAGTTCATTTATGTTGTGAATTCAATAAGAATTATGTTTATTGAAGTCAAGAAAGTATGAATTTTTTTTTCTTTTTCTTTTTGATAACTCAAAATGGAAGCAATGAAACTACACCATAAACGGGCTAATTTTTTAGTTTCACTACTGCATAGCCCATGATTAGGGGAGCCCAAAAGAAAAGAAGAACGAAAATAGAAAAAAAATCGAAAATAGAAATTGTGCGGCATATTGCATAAAAAATATCTGAATGTACAGTCTCTTTATGGATTAGCAGCCCACGTGCCCATTTACCATTCGAGCGTCAACTTAACGCTAACTAACGATATTCTAATCAGATCCGTCCGTGAAGAGTCAAGCAATCCAACGGTGGACAGAGACCCTCACCCCCTTTCCATAACCCAAAGAATATAATAAAATTGCTTGATCCAGAAACCCTAGAGTGCTATTTCCTCTCTTCCAATTTCCTTAATAATCCACCCTTCCTATAATATAAATACCCACTTTCCCAAATTCCTCTTCCGCTTCTCGTCTCTCCCTTGATCCTCTCTTCACTCCTTCTCTGTCTCTCTCAGCGCTCAGAACCAGCCATGTCGGACGAGGAGCATCACTTCGAATCCAAGGCTGACGCCGGAGCTTCCAAGACCTATCCTCAGCAAGCTGGCACTATCCGCAAGAACGGTTACATTGTCATCAAGGGCAGGCCCTGCAAGGTTCGATCTCTTCGTTTTCTCGCCGATTCTCTTCCGATCTGAATGTCGTTTAGGACTTTGCTTATAGATCTTCTCCTACTTTTATTCGATCACTGTCTTCTGATTGTTAGGCTTTTCGTTCCGTAGAGTTTTCTTTCTATTCGTAGTTATGATCTGGTATAATTGGGCATGATCAAGATGGTTGTTCTTCTAATCAATCTGTGGAATAGATTCATCGAGATCGGATTTGATTTTTGTTGGATTTAATTTTAGGATTTTTTTTTGTTTTCGATTTTCATTTTTCCGACAGATTAGGTAGTGTTTAGCTGATCGATCTTTTATGAAATTCTGTAATTTTGATGTAGTTAATGTGAGGTCGTTCCACACTTTATGATTCAGATTTACCGTTCTAATAATAACTATCTGCATGTGACTGAAATTAATTGTGAGTTTTGTAAGCTGAAAAAATTTAATTATGGGTTCGTGATGTGGATGCTTCGAACCTCTTTATGTATACATATGCATATCAATTCACTGCTCTATCTGAATAAGATGTTAACTTTCTGCTATTTTCTCGTAGCTGTCTGTGGCCTTGTTGAGAATTTATTTGTGAAATTGCTTATTATATGCAGTTCCTCCTCTCTGTCATACTTGCGAATTTGTGAACATAGATGCGCACCTAACTAGTGGAGTGTTTGTTGGTTTGCTTTCTTTTTTTTCTCTTTTTTGTAACAGGTTGTGGAGGTTTCCACTTCGAAGACTGGAAAGCACGGACATGCCAAGTGTCACTTTGTTGGTATTGATATCTTCACTGCCAAGAAGCTTGAGGATATTGTTCCCTCTTCCCACAATTGTGATGTACGAACCTCTTTAATATTTTGTCTAAACATTCAAGAATATCTTCTGTTTTTTTTGGGTATATCAATGTCTTTATGTTTGTGTCATAGGTTCCCCATGTCAACCGTACTGACTACCAGCTGATTGATATCTCTGAGGATGGATTTGTAAGTTCACACTTTCCATAGTTCTTATAAATAAAAATGCTTTCTAGTTGTTGCTTATAGATACTCGTGCTATGTTATAAGGGTTTAACCTGACTTCATCATTTTTCTGCTGCGTGCTAAAGGTGAGTCTGCTGACTGAGAATGGTAACACCAAGGATGACCTGAGGCTTCCAACCGATGACAGTCTGCTTACGCAGGTTAGTGATTTTGTAATATGGACTATGTGCGGTATGAGTTATTTATGTAGTGGTTGATTGAATTTCTCATGTAGTGTGAACTTAATAATGTATCTGCATGTGGTCATTATTATGTTCACACATTTTTGGGCAAGTAGAGCACCAATATCTATTAAAAAAAACTCTCCCTTTCTTTTATAAGCTTCCTTTTTAATTCAGTTTCCTGTTGTTTATTGTCTTAATTGGTATTATATTTCCTGGGATGTGATGCAGATCAAGGATGGCTTTGGTGAGGGGAAGGATCTGGTTGTTTCTGTCATGTCTGCTATGGGAGAGGAGCAGATTTGTGCTCTCAAGGACATTGGTCCAAAATAGTCGCGTCGTGGTTCTTCCGGAGCACTTTTAGTTTTCAAATTGAAACTGGGACGGTTAATAGTATGTTTTGGGGGTCACTATTCAGGAGCTTTTCTTGTTTAGAGATGGCCTTGGCTTATAAGTGGATGTTGCCATTAATTAGCTTGTCATTATCAATATTTTTGTTCTGTTTACTGTCTGAAGAACCATGCCCAATTTCATGGTATTGGTGAGTTATATTGGAGACTGTATAGTACCTTTACTTGTTTTAGACTTGCAATTTCATGGTTTGGTTTTTGCCCGCACTGGATAATCTCTTTCTGGGTTTTGCATCACCTCGTGCTATTGGTTTCGCATGAATTGTTACTTGAATATTTCGGCTCTTTATAATAAACCAGTGTATCAACGTCGAAGTGGAATATGTTCTTGCTCTCTTGCTTGCCTTTGGTAACGTTCAAGGATTTTTCTGTCGTGTGCTATCCAATTTCCCCAAATTCAACACTGGAAAATTGAACTATGGTCGGTACTTTATTATTCGTCGCTCGGTTATGAGTCGGCCCGTTTGTTTGCTCTTTGATCATATACGGCACAACGCCAAGTGCGGTGTTCAATTCTTTGATTTGGATGCTAGTCCAGTTGTTTGAGAGTTGGCTAAATGACTATAGAGCCATAGTTGTTAACCATATGTTAATAACAACAATAATGCGTTTTCTATCCGTACATATTTTCTCACATAAACAATGAGTTTCATGCCTGTTGTAGAACCTGATAATTTTCTAACAATCAGTTTTCTGATATTCTTGTGTTGTGACAATTCATCCTGTTTGTTTACGTCTTCTCCAAATGCCTTTATTGGTCTTTTCCAAATGCTGACTTTCAACTTCCCTATTCCCATTTTGTTGCTCCCCCTCTCCATATCTCTGCCTCCTCTGTTAGATCGATCGTAATTCATTAATTACTGGAAAACCGGATCGCGGTTCCAAGCCAGTCATCAGGAAGGTTGCCTTTCAATTCTCCACTAAAGGCCTTCAATGCATGGCTTGTAGCTGCCTGTACCCAGGTAAATATCTCAGGTTACACGTAGTAGAAGTGGAAGTGGTGGAAATTGAGGGATTAAATATTTACCTTCACAATATATACATCAATTCCGAGTTTCGCAATCGCTGCAGCTTCAGATATCTTGGTCAGCATTCCACCGGTTGTATCATGGGCTGCTACACTTGTTTCAACTGTTGACATGACAACCACCATCAATATGTGCACCATTTAGACAAACACTGCTACAAAGGACCCCTTCAGTTATTGTGATGTTAAAACTGCAGCAACCCTGCTCACCTTGCTTGTTCTTGTTCTGAAATGTTGGCTTCTCGATCGACCAGCTCCCATCATTAGCCACAGCTGCAGTTGAAACTTTGGATGAGCCATCGCAATTTGACAAATCAACACAAAATTTCATTCATGCACAAATCCATTCCTTACCAATTTCTCTCAAGAGTACTGCATTTGGATCTGATGGTGGACGATCATAAACTCCCGAAACATCAGTCTTAAGTCCACATTAATATGAAAACAAACATTTATCCACTCATATCAGATGATAATTTACAACTTACTAGAACAGTTCGAGATAAAGTTTCACCAGAAAAATATTCTTTTAGGTTGATTTAACTCCTAAGACATCTATATCAACTATCAAGTTATGGACTGTACTCAGATGTCAATTCCCAAAAAATAAATGCATGAAAAATTTCCATTCAGACACGGTGGATACGAGAAAAACAACGTATTCAGGCTTCAAGTGGGCTGCAAGATGACTGATGATGACATCTCCACTCAAGATGGTACAGTCCTGATTAGGAGAATCCATTAACAAGGTATCAGTACAAGTTAATTATAAGCAATATGCTAGTGCATTTCTGTAAGAGAGACCAAACCAGTAAGTCATCGAGCACGGCATCTCCATGCAAAACCTGGGAAACATGTAACAATCAAGATTAGTAACAAGCAACATAAGAGAAGAAAAGTAGAAACCAACATTAAGCATACATCAAACATAACACAAAACATATCCAATCAAACTATTTGTATTCTTAATGCCAACCAGGTAATATTTCTGTTTTAAAAAAGTTCAAAACAGGAAAATAGAAACGACAGGATGAATGGTAGTAATACTGAGCCTTGAAATTATCATTGTCAATTAAAGAATACAACTTACAGGTACTAAACCAGATTCAATAGCCTTAGCCACTGCAGACAAATCAGCTGAAGCTATCTGCAGAAACAGGAAACGTAAGTTAGAAAAAGAAAATTAGTTACTCGCCCAAATAATTAATAAAAAGGAAATGGACCGTTAAATAACTTCAGGACCAAAGCTTAAGTGGAATCAAGCTACTGACATTTCTTTCACAGGTTGACCATCCACATGAAAATGGAGACATTCCTATGGAAGGAATACCCTCTGTAAGGAAAGCACAACAAAACTCATGAGATTGAAAGTAGGGTCCAGTTAAGCAGATAAATAGCAACCATGAAATCAGGATAGGGAAATGACAGTTTCATGCAGCTTTGAGAGCCACACAAAATAGATAAAACAATGTTTGTAGCATTCCTGAGCAAGCTGAGAACAAATACTGATCAGTCAAATTAACTAAAGAATCGATTAAATAACTAATTTTCTTCAACATTTAGCTCATAGTATCTGATACATAAGAGACATTGTTAGCCTAAAACTGAGAAAGTCAGTATAAATCCTAAACCCTTGCATGGAATATAAGATGTGAAAAAGGTATATAGATAGAGATAGAATGAAAATTTTCTCTGAAGTTGGATTGAAATAGGTAGATCAGTACCCCTAGCTAGCGCTCTAACAATTTCAAGATTGAGCTTCGTAACCTGAAATAATTGAAGTAAACATGATACACAGGGAAATAATCTGCAAGAGACGAAAGTGAACTTAAAGCAAAATTTATAGATGTGATAAAGACTCAATGAACATAAAAGAATTCAACAAGGCGGCATATCTTACAGAGATGCGTGTGGCAACAAAACCAGCCTTCACAAGGGGTTGGTACAATCCACCTTTATGGACCCCAGATTTACTAGCTTGAAAATGCCCAAAAGAACCTGAAGCCACCATGGTAGACACAAATATCTTTAGAACTAGTTGAAAAGACTACATAGAAGATTGAGTGCTGCAGAGATGCAATGTACATATACTGATGTTTCCATTGTGGTACAAATTGTATGAAACAAATGGCCATATTTACCATTTATCCGTACAATATTTTTCACAGTTCAATCTAACCAAGTTCCCATTCATGAATTAAGACAAGCATCTAACCTGCTCCATGAACAACTATAAAAGGGCTGGAATCCACAACTGGCCAATCTTCAAAATCACTTAGGGTAGATGAGATTTCTGATTCTCCGGGTTGCTTGCTCCAATCCATCCCAAGAACCTCCCCAGAATTCGACCCCGTGGTCATTGATTGCCTCAGCTGCGAGGAAACCGTCTTCAGATTTTCTTCATTTATGGTCTCTAATTCATTCTTGCAAGTAATTGCAGCACCTCCTACACTATATAAAAATCTTATTGTAACAACCTATAGAAACTATATGAACAAATCCTTTGCAACACCTCTTGTGTAACTTTCATATTCTTAAAGTAAAATATCTGTCACATATATTACTCTGATGAACAAAACAACCATTCATCCATATTAGCTTCTTCAGTGACAAGTGACATAACATAAGATTCGCCAAATTCAAAACGAAATGTGGTTCCTCGATTTATATTGATTCCATTAAAAGTTCCATTATTGAAGCAGGAAATAAACACAAGATGGGATTAAAATTTATCAGCTGCCCATTAATCAAGTACCCCAAATTGACTTTTATAGACCTTCTTTATTTGGGCAATTATTTTTCTGGGTCAGATGAAGAAAAAGAAAAAAACTACAAATGAGAGTATATAAAGGCTTCACAAACTGATTAAGTTCTAGTGTTGTGGCGATTAAATTCTACTAAAGGAAACAAAATAAGATTAAATAAAAATAAGGGGGTAAAGAACCAGACCGAGTTTGACGATGCAACGAACTGGTTTCGTTAGACTGATGGAAGCGCTTTGGTGCTGCTGCTTTGTGTTGCTCACCTCCATTTTGCAATTTCTGGGTTATTGATCTAAAGCTCTGGGCTTTTCTTTTCTCTGTGAAGTTTAAGGTGCAGCAGATTCGCACGCAGTCAATGGAGTCAGAGCTCAAAACAAAGTTCCTCCGAGGTTATTTTCTTTTGAACAGGAAGGGTTCTCGCAGGAAGGGATAAAAAGTAACTTATTTCCCAATTAGCTAAAAAAAGTTCTCAACTGCAACTGATAATTGTAAGGCCACATTACAGTTTTAGACCTGTATTAAGTTGATGGGTCAAATGCCAACATGGTCTAGTCGCCTTGACTTGCAGAACTGTAATCTCCTGTTTGAATCCAAATGACAATTTTTTTTTGGTTACATTGAGAGTTGAAGCCAAAAGGGAGGGAAAAAAAAAAAAAAAAAAAAAAAAAAAAAAAAAAAAAACACTAGTACAAGCCTAGTACAGTGGTATATCCTCCTAGCAGGGGTAATCCTCAGCATCAGTTGTGTGATTTAGGATCGAAAGTCAGATAGGCAAAATTTACATACTAAATTCGACGATATGAGTGAATTTCATTAATAAACATAAAAAAAATACACCTAGTCATAGTAATAAACATAAAAAGATACACTTAGTCATATTAATAAACATAAAAATATGCACCTAGTCATAGAGACATAATGAGCATTATCCTCAAATACATTTCTATACATAAATAAAAGCTTAACAAAAAAACAAAAAAACCACAAAAAAACGCAATGAGAATGAGAATAATACTTCTTGTTGACAATGAAAATGAGAAGATGTGGTTGCCCACCCAAAATAAGAAAAGATGTTATAACATATGTAGGGTTTTATTTCGTTGAAAAAATTTGGGTTGCACGACACCCAACCTGCTCTATGCACAGAAATGCCCTTGGTTTTAGTTCTGCAATAGCAAGTCTTTGCAACCATAAATGAGGCTAGAGAGAGGGTAACTAGGCCATCTTTGTGTGTGTATGAGAAACCCTATTATATCTGTGTGTATTAAAAATCAAATAAAGACCAAAAACCATATAGCAAAACCAATATCCTGTAATCTCACAACTAATATTAACTCATATTTCATTTCAAAACAAGGAGAGAGATGTCTGCATTTAATAATAATTTCACAAGAATGTGCTTCTCACATCTAAACCCAAAAAAAAAACCCAATAATGGATCTTCCATTTATCAAGCATTAGAGTACAAAGTGCATCTTAACATTTAATTAGTGTTCGTCGTAAATTTAGTTATAGTTAGTCAATTATATGTTAGTTGGGGTGCCACGTAACTTGTTTTAGTAAATATTATGAGTGTTGTTAAACGAACTCTAAAATTAATCGAGTACATCTTGCTACCAAACTATTTATTGAATTTCTAATTTATCCTAATATAAAATGATCAAAAAAGATATATTGAATTATGAAATAAATGTAATTTTAATAAATAAACCTTACTCCACACATTCAACTCTAATCAAACGTAGTAATTTTTTGCTATTACTTTTATTTTCAATACTAATTTACTATGAACTGGGAATGTGTTCTTCTATGATCAGGCCTTTTGTTTTGATTTTTTATTTCTTGGGTAATGGTCATTTTCAGGATGTTAGAGCTTAAAGCTATTAAATTAGTTGCTGCTTTATCTGAATATGATTTTGAGGCAGAGGCTATGGCTTTCTACGTGTATCTTGCTGAAGAGTGAGAAAGTAAGAGTCAGCTTAGAGCACTTCCACCAGTTAGCCCCTTGTCATGGCAAGGGGAGCCCTAGGGCAACTACTATTCACGTGAATAGTGGCTGCCCTAACCCCCCACCCTTTAGCAAAGTGTGTTTCCAACAGTGCAAGACTTGCCATGACAAATACTATTCATTTTTTTATTTTTTTTCACAACTTTGTTTACTTAAACAATTAATTTGGATAATATTTTCGGATAAGATTATTGGGTTCCTACGTGTCAATAGTATTCATATCGGATAAAATTTTCGGTTTCAAATTTCATATACATTTCAAAGTGAATAATAGTAGAAGGAGAGAAAAAAAATTGAAAAAAACAACTTGAAAGTGAAAAAAAATGAGTAGAAAGTGAATAATAGTAGAAGGAGAAGAAAATGTATGAGGAGTTGGTGTTAAAAGTGAAGAGTATTGTTTGGTATTTATAGAAAACAAAAAATTAGTATTTTTTTAAATTTTTTCCGATTTTTTTTCTTTTTTTTATTGGGCAAAAAATTGCATGTTGTTGGATTGCTGGAAAAAAGAGGATCGGAGATCCCAGAAGCTTCCACGTGGTAGATAGCCGTTGGGGGTGGCAGTTTCAATTTTTTTATTTGCGAAAAAATGGCAGCCGTTGGATATCTGGAAAAAGCGGATCGGATAGCCCAAAAGAAGACACGTGGAAGATAGTCGTTGGGTGGGCACTGTAGCGGGTGCGTCAAATTTTTTTTAACGTTGGCGTGTGCAACGCACGTGCCAACGTTAAAAAAATTTAACTGAAACGCTGACGTCAGCTTAGCCTGCAGGCAAGCACTCAGGCCAAACCCCACCTCGGGCCAGCCCAGGCTGCTGGCCCCCACCTCTTGCTCGGGCTCCATTTTGTTGCTGGAAACGCCTACAACACCCAAACCCCCCCAGCTCGAGCCCAGCTTGCATTGCTGGAAATGCTCTTAGAATTGGAAAAATTTATGCATATCTAATAATTTACTGAAAGAGACCATTTTGACTTAAGTGAATTAGATTATTTCTTTATGTGAATTACATTCTTGCATCGCATATAAGTTAGATATAACAGAAGGACTGTTGGTTTTCTTCCATTGATCTGTGTAGAAGAGGGTTGGATTACCCCCAAGATCTGATTTTGTGTTGTAGAAAACTATGATGATTATGTTTTGCTTATGGCCATGGAGTGGTTTTATAACGATGTTGAGTATATTAATGGAGAAAAAATTTCGTTTATTGTGTTCCTCGTGTTGTGGAATTTGCAAGTCTGGAAACCACTTGGTCCGACTTTTCCTGAATAAATTATTTTTGTAAAATATTAGAATATTGGACATTTATGGAGGAATGGTGTAAATGTATTTTTTTAGACTTTTGATACAGTGTATTAAAGTATACTAGGGGTATTTTGGTAGTTAAATAAAGTGTACTTAGTTCATTTTAGGGTTAGTTTAACAACACTCAATATTATTAAGTACTTATATTTGAGATTATGTTGGAACTGAATGACTTTTTAATATTCTTGCTGCATATGTAAATTTTTCTATTTGTTTATAATAAAATTTTCCAGTGACTTTGACAAAAAAAAATAAAAATTATTAAGTGTACATAATTAATTTTTGGTAAGTATAGCTTTTCTAATCTAATTTAGGTTAGGATTAAAAGTAAGACCAAAAATCACTTTTGGTCCATGTAGTTTGGCACTTCAACCAATTTTGACCTTATAGTTTCAATTCCGTCAATTTTTCCGTTATAATTTCATAATTGTAGCAATTTAATGACCATTCTAATTTTCATCAAATTATTCTAATTTTTGTTATCTATTTAAGGGTATTTTGGTCCAAACTTGCATCCCTTCCCCCAACCTGTCAACTGTCACAAGCAGTCCCCAGCCAACCACCAAACCCTATAATTGAACGCAAACACAGCCTCCCAAGGCTACCCCAACCCCAACAAATGTACAAGGTATAAGCTAGCAAGTCGAGAGCTATGTTCCAATAGTTGCCCCAAGACTGATTGGCGTCTCCAAGCAATACGTACAAGATCGAGTTGGGAGAGAGAGGGCAAATTGAGGAGAGATTGGAAGTGAGACTTTTGTTGGGGGTTGTGGAGACGGTTGCCCCTCTGATTTTAGCCCAATTATGTTTTGGGTTCCTTATGTTTTTATTCAATTGTTGATTGTGTTCTTGTTGTTTTATTTATTTATTTTAACATTCACTACTTTTCTTGCACAAATTGTTAAATACATATAGATCTATGAGTCCATGATATCATGGGGTTAGGGCGGCCTTGGGAAGCTATGGTGGCGGTAGGGATGGCAAAAATCCTCGCCGGGGTGGGTCCCTGACCCTAACGAGGGGAGATTTCGGGGCCAAATGGGTATCGGGTATGGGGATCCTAGAACTTGAAAAATCCCCGATGGGTATGAGGAGGGGATGATATTGACGTCCCCATCCTCGAACCCAACCCGAAAATTTATATGTTTATATTTAAATAAATATATATAACTAGCCTCTTGGCACATGCTCACGCATGTGCCAATTGGTTTTATTTTTTATTTTATTTTTAGAATTAAGAAAAGATAACATGGGTAGTTATGTTCCATAAAAGTATGAACTATTATTTGATTTTGTTTTTAATTTTAATTTTTTTAATATGAAAAAAAGTGAATTTACCATATTATCCTTATTTAATTAATGATTTCAATTCTTAATGTTTGAATTAATCAAGGGTATTTTCTGGTATTTTGAATGTTTCACCATTCTCTGAATTTTGCTTTATATATATAGATTATAATATTTATGTTTAACCTTAAGTTAACATCCCTCTCCTAATTCTTCCTAATCTTCTTTCGAATTTCATATTGAAGTAATTTTGAATAGTTGAGTTAAACTTTATAGTTAATTTGGATGTGTTGAATGATAAATTAATATGAAACTTAATGTTAAAATATATGATAATTTTTTTTATGTAAAAAAAATCGGAGATTCGGGGCGAGTATGGGGGATAGTCCCTCAACGAGGACAGGGATGAGGATTCCCGAAACCTATTAAACGGGGATGGGTTCGGGGACGGGGGCAGGGATGGACATGGTATTATCATACCCGGCCCCTACCCGACCCGTTGCCATCCCTAGGTGGCAGTTAGTTACAGGGGTGTCGAGGCTAGTTGGGGTTGGGTGGTACTGTTCTTTGGTATTGGCTTGTTGGGGAGGGGATGCAAGTTTGGACCAAAATACCCCTGAATAGATAACAGAAGTTAAGAATAATTTGACAGAAATTAAGATTATCCTTAAATTGCTACAAATATGACGAAATTGAAATTATAAAGTCAAAAATTATTAAAGTGTCAAATTACAGAACCAAAAGTGACTTTTGTCCTAAAAGTAAAACCAGTGGTTTTTAAAGTAATAAATAGGTGAAAGGGACTCTTCTGGGAATTGGGATGTGAAAGTGATTGTGTATGTTCATATAATGAACACGTTGAGCGACTTATATAGTACGGAGGAGGTAGGTGGTTCTTCCTGCATCTGGACAACAATTCCTGGCAGAATATGTGTGGCCACGATCTCATCCTGTTTGTAGTAGCATATCAATTTATTTACACACACATATATATATATATATATATATTTTAGAAAAATAAGAACGCACGTTGTCTGCAGATGATGAATAATATATAACAAATATCACTTGCACATTTATTAATTTTATCCACTATTTATAATGCGTTGGATTTTTTTTGTGAGCTTTGGGCTGTTGGATTTTCGGATAAACAAAACAATACAGACAGCATGCAAGGTTAGCTACAAGCCTAGGGCTTACAGCTTGAGATGAGAACACCGACAATTTAGTTTTCTAAACTCAACTTGTAACATGTAACATGTACGTATCTATGTAGGTATCGATATATGTATCTGCGTGTAGCTTGTTCAGTTTGTGCAGTTTGCGATTGCGACTGTTGCAGCACACAGACAACACTGACAGACAGCGCTCCATTCCCGGTTCCCTCCCATGATTTTAATTTTTAGTACCAACCAATAGTCTATGCAATTCATCCACTCTCCTCTCTACTATTATCATTATAAGTCAATCACGATACGTGCTCCCACGTTACTCAATAATATGAGTTGTTTATGTAGAAAGCGGCCAAAATTTCACACCTGCAAGAAGGGGCGTGTTAAGTCTCTCAACCTATTACCAATTAAATTAGCATTAGTGCTCGCATTCTAATAGATTGTATCGTAGACAAACTCGTGCCAACTGAAAACAACAACATTTTTTATCATTTACCAAAAATAAAACCACATTTACAAGATTTAATATTTAAATTTATCTTATTCTCCTAAACTTCAAATAGAAATTATAACCTATGCTGTGCATTAGTCATTGAGAAGTGGGAATTGGGGGCATAGACTGCAGTGTATGAATTTGCTTAGATTTTAATTAACACTTGTCGCATGCTTCAATCCCAAATAGCATTTTCACAATTGTAGTGGTTTTCAGTAATTGCTCTAGAGTTTGAGTCCTAACATTCGTCACATTTTCACCTTCCAGCCTTATACTGCAAAATTTTATCAATTAGTAACATTAATAATAGCATACAAAATTAATATATTGTTAACCAATATTTTAAAAGAAACCCACCACCTCACATGAGAGAGAGGATTCCATAGCTGATACTGATAGGACCATAATCCGGATGTCCAGTAAACCACATCTCCGGCAGATCACGGTGTTTTCAATTTTATTTATTTATTATTATTACTAATCTGCTCTCAAAACCTTTACATTTGGAAGGTTTGGAAGTTTTGAACATCCTTGATTGATATCCTACACAAAAAAGAAAAAAGAAAAAAAAGGAGCAATCCCGTAGTTTCCGGAAAGTCTTCGGGGCATTGTCGTCATTTCGCATCCAAGCTGGAGCACGGAGGCAGTGGTAGTTACCGCCACCTACACCAAACAACAAATCCCACAAATAAAAAAGACAAAAACAGAAAAGAAAAGGGAAAATCAGAGAGAGCTTTTTCGTATCTGCGGCGTGGACTTTTTGCTGAATTTCAGATCCACAGAGCCAAAAAAAACCACATCGACACTCAGACAGACATAGCAAACAAAACAACACAGAAAGAGAAAAAAAGCAGAGAGAAAGAGTTAGTTGAAAGTTCTGGCCACTGGCTTGTCAATCAAATGGCTGAGAACCAAGAGCAGCCACCGGGCCCACCGCCGTCCACTTCATCGTCACCCTTGAAATCAGCTGCTCCTCCTCCTCCTCCTCCGCAGCGCCCTACGATCACCCTCCCTCCGCGCTCCTCTTTCGAGACGCTCTTCAACTCCGGCGGCGCCAATAGTGGGCCGGGTTTCGGCCTCGGCTTCAGCCCAGGGCCCATGACGCTCGTCTCCAGCTTCTTGTCCGATGGCGAAGACTGCAAGTCCTTCTCTCAGCTGCTCGCAGGAGCCATGTCTCCGGCGGCCAGGCCGCCTGGCTTCCCTCAGCTCGAAGACCGAGGCTCCGGCGACGACAACTCCGATTTCCGGTTCAAGCAGAACAGACCGTCGCCGATGTTTTCGGTCCCGTCTCCGGGCTTGCTCGACTCGCCGGGGCTCTTCTCGCCTGGTCAGGTACTCAACTCATTTACCGTTACCTCTTCTTGCTAGCTTATTTGAGAGTTGGGCATTTTTGAAAAGTTTCGTTTTTTTTTTCGGTTTAGATTTTTCCGAGTTCAATGTCTTGTCTTTAGTTGCTGCCTAGACTGAGGAAAAAATGGTAACTTCATTTATTTATAAAGAACTGACGAGAAAAGAAAGTATAAATTTTTTGATAGATTGAGTCCGTTTTAAATGGCGGCAAGTAGTTGTAATTAAGGTACAGATTAAAGATTCTAAATTTAGTAACTTTTTTTTCCCCCCCGGGGAAGTGGGGAATCTGTCAATGGTTCTGGGTTCTTAGAATTGATTCACTTGTTTTTTAGGAAAATTGGATAAAGCTACTTCAAACCAATCTGCTTAGGGCTTTGTTGTTGCTTTGATACGCTACTTGGAATCGGTTTCTTATGGTTGTGATTTTTGCTTCATGTAGGGACCCTTTGGAATGACACACCAGCAGGCCCTAGCACAGGTCACAGCTCAGGCTGCACAATCCTCTTCCTATTTCCATATCCCAACTGAATACTCATCTTCTTTATCGACAGCGCCCGCCACATCCTTGACACAGCTTCCAGCCTTTACTTCCAATTCAACAGCACCCCAGGAGATGCCATCTGGACCAGCTGACTCTGGGGTGGCTATAAAAGAATCATCTGACATCTCCCATTCTGATCAGAGATCCCAACCGTCTTCGTTTACGGTTGATAAGCCTAATGATGATGGATACAATTGGCGTAAATATGGGCAGAAGCAGGTGAAGGGCAGTGAGTTTCCTCGAAGTTATTACAAATGCACGCATTCAAATTGTCCTGTTAAGAAGAAGGTCGAGCGCTCAATTGATGGACAAATAACTGAGATTATTTACAAGGGTGAGCACAACCATGAACGTCCTCAGTCCAAGCGTGCAAAGGATTCTGGAAATCCGATTGGAAACATTCAGGCAAATCCTGACTTAGCTTCCCAAGTTCATGGTGGGCATTTGAACAAATCTAAGAAGGGTCAGGAATCTAGCCAAGCAACACATGATCATTTATCTGGGACTAGTGACAGTGAGGAAGTAGGAGATGCTGAAACCAGAGTAGATGAAAAAGATGAAGATCAACCTGACCCAAAGAGACGGTAGATATTTTATGTAGATATGGATGTGCATACTTGTGGTATAGTTAATGTTCCCTGTTTGTCTTGTATCCTTAACACCTTTCCTTTTTCCAGAAATACAGAGGTTAGGGCAGAGCCAGCTTCTTCACATCGGACTCTGACAGAGCCTAGAATCATAGTGCAGACAACCAGTGAAGTCGATCTTTTAGACGATGGCTATAGGTGGCGCAAGTATGGGCAGAAAGTCGTCAAAGGCAACCCTTATCCGCGGTAATACTGCTTATCCTAATTTCTAAGCTTGGTCATATTTACTGTTCGAATATAATAGACTTTTTCAAGGAGGTTTGGTGCTGATCTTTAGTTTGATTTTGAGGACGGAACTAGATTTTCTTATGTGACTACAAAACTAACGTTTTATGTCCTGCACATGGCATAAAATGTTTAAAAATCCATTACCATATAATTACTCGTCATTAACTGTTTACAAATCTAATAGCATAGATTTAAATCTTGGAAAATGAATTTTGAGAGCTGAAAACCTTAGTTTTCATTGCCAATTCTCTTTATGTTGCCTAACATTTTCAATAAAGGAGTATATCCTTTGGTGCATGGTTGGTTAAAAAAGTTCCTCATCTGTCATGCTGCATTCTGCAGGAGCTATTACAAATGCACGTTCCCTGCCTGCAATGTACGTAAGCATGTAGAGAGAGCCTCGACAGATCCTAAAGCTGTCATAACAACGTATGAGGGAAAACATAATCATGATGTACCAGCTTCTAAAACTGGCAGCCACTACGCAGCCAACAACAATGCCTCAAATCTAAGAGCAGTCAACGCAGGAACTGAGAAGATTAACAAGATGGATCTTAGAAACAGTGACCAACAGCCTATAGCACGTTTACGCTTAAAAGAAGAACAAATAACATGATTTCTGTGAGTTTCAACAGGAAAACAAGCAAGAGTCGGAGAACTGGAAATTTCCACGAAGCAGGCAAAAGTTGTATGCGATCTTTGTCTGAATCTGTTTTTCACTCCAGACCGTAGTTTTGACCAAGGCCCAATTACGCAATTGCTAGTGTACAAAGGAGAAAGGAAGAAGTCAGGTCAAATTTTTGTTGTACGTAAACTAATTAACAAGCACTGTATTAAAATTTTACAACTTCTGTGCATTCTTTTGTATATGGAAACAGTGATGTTTTATATGATTATTTGCATCGGTGTTTGAACTGAAAATCCCCGAAATTATAACGACTTTCGGCTTTGCCTATTTCTTTTCGTTCTTGATTTAGAGTCTCTATTTGTAGAAAAGTATTTAGTAGGTAGTTTGAGCACAAAGTTATAGGTAGTTTGAGCACAAAGTTATGTGATTAGAATCCTCTGTTACAAGTTTTTATGATTGCTACTGCATCAATGGCGTGTTAATTCTCATCACCACAACCCGCAACTTGATCCGTTTATGAAACATGATCATTTATCTCTTCTTTTATCAAAACCTAAATAAGCAACCTGCAATCTCACATATAACTTTAAGTCCTCAGTTTTGTTTATAAGATTTGTTACCAATTTATGATCATGTGGGTTACAGATCTCATGTTTACACCATTGAATTGAATTGGTCGCAGTGAAATTACAGGCTTTTAAATGCAAACCCTCCAGGATCCAGGTGCCTGTCCAAATCAGTCATCCATAGTTACAAGCGTAGGTATTTGACCATGGTTTACAAATTCCATCTTATTCAAGCGCAGGCAGCACAAGACTTGCTCTGGCAATTCCTCTTGTTTTTGTGCCTGCCAAAACCAGCAAAGAAAACCCCAAGTCAGTGTAAAAGTAGAAACTGGTTGCTCAAAAAAAAAAAAGGGGTTTCATATTGAATGTACCTGGATTGTTAATCCCAAATCAAGCACGCCGTTGGTCAAACGCTCTCTGAATGATTCAAGTCCTTTCCTGGATATGTAGCTGAACCTATGGATATCTAGGTCAATCTCAAAGTAATTAGGTCCCTGTCAAATAGATTGCAGAGGTCCAGTTAGTTGAAAGCACTGGTTTAGTTTATACGAGAACAAGAAATATATGTTCTTTTTCTTTTGTTTTCTTTTTACCCTGTAGAAATTGTGTTGAGGGCGGGAAAGCACAGGCTTATCATTATAAGCAGATAGAAGCTTCCTTTCTGCAGAACTCAACTGGAGGTCATCTGGATTGACCAATCCAGCCATGATTTTTAGCCTTTCCCTGAAGGGAACCACTGAATCCTTTGCAAACCCTTTTACTTTTTCTGTCTCGTCCTCAACAAATTTCTGTAACAGAAAACAAAACATAAAGAAAGTCATACTCTGTGCACCCAGATCAGAGATATGGAAATTGGAAAATTGATGAAGTAGTACCCTGATGCTGTCTTGAAACTGAGCAGATATCTCTTTGTCAAAATTTTCATTCACTTTAAAATACAATACAAGACTCATGCCTTCCCCGTCGCAATCACCAAGGAACATTGTGGCAGGATAAGTAGGCAACTGCAACAACACCAGAATCAATTCACAAGAAGTTTTCTATATACAGTGACGAATGCAATGAAATTGCACCTCAGTTTTACAACTACAACAGCATCAAAACTGAGCCTACAGCAAAGTATTTTGGGGTAAAGAGGGAGAGAGAACCTGTATATTAACAATCAGGAGGGAGGGAACTTTGTCATGTGGTTTTACAGAAGGAAGCTCAAGATGCTGAGCAATGTGATCTCTCTTTCGGGGGCAGATAAACAAATCAACACCAATTGGTACGTATGAGCTGTAGTTTGGAGCAGGGTACTTCTGTTTATCTCTGCATAATAAATTTTTCATGTTTAGACCATAAAAATCAATGATCAAGAAAAAACAAAATTAGGAACAGGCAAACAACTAGCATACTTGAAATAATTCTCGCCTCGGAGCTTAAATACTGAAGGTGGAACTGCAGACCAGGATCCAGGACTTGGCTTCTCATCGGTTGAACAAGGAATGCGAAGTCCTGCTCTTGGGCGAAATAAGTATTTATGATCAGACGCACCTGTGCATACACTTGTTACACTTAGTATTGCAGCAGTGTGTGTGTATGCTTAAACTCATATTTAAGCAATGTTAGTGGATAATAAAATGCAGCATCACATTGCTATCTCATAATCACAAAACCCATATACATTCTGCAGAAACTTATATTAGGTACTCACCGGTCTTTTCACTTTCGTCGATGGATTTCCTCTTATAAGAGAGCATGATAACTGCCGGTTGCTTAGGGTTCTTGTCATTAAAACTGACTTGGGTTTTCTCTACCGAATGGCGTGCATTTCCATCTATTTTCAGGTAACTTTCATAGAACCCCTCATACTTGCATCCATTATCTACAATGCATGATGCACTTTCGTACTGGACCAATTGACCATTTGGGATATTACCTGCTAAAGGAAACCCATCTGACACCCAGAAAGACAGAACTAGTGTTGGCTATAATTCACAATTGCCACACACACACATACACAAAAGGAACAATCACTTTTGGTAATTTGTGATGAGATTTAAGTTCATTACCTCCATGCACACTGCAGAAGTCATCTTCTGAATCAGATTCCATGATACTGAGGGAGTCAAACCATGCCTCCCCTGGGCATTTCCCTGCAGATAGTTGAAATATTTACAGTCAGAAATCACTTCTTCTTTTGCTTGTTAACTCTTCATACTGCCCCCTGTTTGATATAATTTCAATTCACATCTTCTATGTACTTCGAGTTATTTAACAGACAAATTCTAAAGTCCTAAACACTTCAAACTTACCACCATTTCCATCAATCTGACTGTGGTTCCATTGAAGCTGAGTGAGGTGAAATGTGCCACTAGAAACCTCAGATCTCTTGCAGGTAGTTGCAGCACCTTTCTCAAAGTCAAGATGTACAAACTCACTAACAGACCGTCTCGTAGCTGAATCAGAATTGGAGGTGACAACCTTCTTCATCTTTCTCCCCCGGCGTCTGGCAACTCTGCGGACCCTTTTCTGCTGGGCTTTAATAGTTGCATGAGGTTTTGAAACACAGACACCCATCACAAAGCTCCTCTCTACAAAAAAAACACAACTACTTCTTCCTTGAAGTAATGTGCCAACTTTGCAAAAACAGAAGACACACTGGATGTAGAGCAGTCTACATATACATATACATTTGACCTCTGCAAGCCAATAAGAAGATATAAGAGCAAGCTATGCCAACTCAATATGATTGGTTGTGTGGAGTTCAAAAACAAACTGTACAATAATAAAGGGAAAATATGAGAGGTAGCTTGGATGTGCATTAACGAAGAATCCAACATCTTCCTGCTACAACACATTGAAGTTGGCATGGACCCAATCAGTCCAATCAATTCCAAACATACAATTAATACACAACTTTTTTTTTCTTCTTTTGTTTTCTGAGAACATCTGTAATAGTTACCTTCAATTCAAATGATAGTATCACTTGGCCACTTTTGAGAAAAACCTGAAGATAACCCCAACAAGAAAAAAGACAGAGAGAAAAAAAAACATCAATAAATTCTGAATGCAATTACAAACCCACCACCAGGTGAGTATTCTTGAAGACATTCCATCTGTTAATGTTTTATGTATGTTTTGACAGAGAACCAATGGAACACGAAATATTGGAAAATTTATGTCTGCACTGTACAAGTTCCCATCAGTCATGAATCATGATCGAAAAGACAAGAGAAGAGGCTGATAATTTGAGAACCAGAACCAGTTATGATGTTAAAAGAAATTAATACATCTGATCGTGTGGTACAAAGAGAGTGGTTGCAATGTGTTATGAACCATTAAAGAAACAGTAAATGCGCAATCATATTCAATGCATTAAAGTTTTAAAAATAAATTAGTGGAAGCAAAAAACGTACGTTGGATCAGATTTTATGGGGAAAAAAACAGAGAAAGAAACATGCAAATTGAAATTGCAGACCTGGAGGGACTTAGAATTGATACTCCGGCATGAAAATAAGAGGAAGAAAACCGGCGTTCCCTGTGAGGAACTCGGCCTCCTTCTTTGAACTTGTCTCTGTTTTTCTGCCTCTCTCTGTTTTCAACCAACCTTTGCTGCTTTAAATCCAAATGAATTTTCCACACAGGAAATGCGAAACAGATTATAACGGCGAGAAGACAGAAAACACCTCACAAAACCCAACACACAGAGAGAAAGAGAGAGAGAAAGAAAGACAGGCTCCGTTGAATTCGGATCCTATTTTCCTTTTAAATCTCCATCTCTCTGTCTTCCTCTGTCTTCCTTCCCTGCTTTATCTTCTTTTTTTTGGGTGGCTTTTTTTAATTAAATTTTTTTTTAGGTTAGTTGTTTTTTAGGTGGTATGGCTTAATTATCAGGGTTTTAGAAATTACACCCACCCACCTCATACGCGTTCTATTCTTCTCCTCTGCTGCCAATGTCATCCTTCAACAAACCATATTTTTAGACTTACTATTTTGCTTGGGTTTAGTTTTTTTTTTCTTTCCTTTTTTGGATTAATTTTCGTATTACCATTGACTTGTTTTAATCAATGTGGTATATTATAATATTAGGTTGAAGTAGTTTCAATCAAATTCATAAGTGACTGTGCAGAGTATGCCTATGTGCAATAAATAAATAATGCAGCTAAATAAGTTATATTATATGTAACTGAGTCTGAAAAAACTTGTGAAATGAAGTTCAGATTTGTTTGTATGAGTTTGCATTGCACGTAAAAGTTGTCGATGAATAGTATGCTAGTGTGGAAGGTCGCCATCAATGGCAGAGTGGCAATTGTGGAAAGGCAGACTCTAGGTTTAAATTTTGCACGTCCAAATGTGAGAATCAGTCGGCTGACAAGTGACCACTGACCATGACTCTTGCTATATAAAATTTTGGGTCTCGTTCTGCATATAAAGACGCCACCAACCTATTAGTCTTATTTCACATCAAGATTTATTTAGCCAGATGTGTTAGCAGTGGTGGACCTAGTAGTTTGTCTTTTTGGGGCCAGTATTGTAATTATAAGGTTTTTATAGCTTTATATTTTAACGGATATTGTAGCGGGTGTTTAAGAGTTATTGATTTTTTCATGGAGTTTTGGAGGGCCATGGTCACTGCAGGTCTGTATGTGTCTCCGCTCTTATGTGTTAGAACAGTTGCATGTGTGTATGGATGATTATCAGTCGTTGATGGAAACGAGATTCATATTTATTAGGCATTTTGTTGGTTGATCACCTTAAAACTTATTAATACTGAAAATGGTTTAAATGTGATGGTATGAAAGTTTGTTTAGGCCACTCTAAGAGAAAACAGAGAAAAAAGGGAGTCCCAAAATGTCGATGCATGAATAGCATGTTCCATTATCTACGAAGAACTCAATGATTGCTAAACTTGTGCATATTATTTATAAAAAAAAGTATAGACAACAACGATTTAACAACATAAACAATGCAATTAGTGTGTGTTAAAGTGGGGTCCTTAATCAAAATGGGATGCTTAAGCAACCCACATTTAAAAGTAATAACGGGTTGATTTTGTCTTTGATTAGGCATTTGTCTTAGTATATAGTAGAAGTGGACTAGCTAATCGATCCCTGTTGAAGTGGTTGAGCCATAAGGAGACTTAATTCAGGTTAAGGTTTTGTTTTCATGATCCATCACATTCACACCCACCAAATGAAGAACAAACAAATTATAAACTATACTGATTTTTTTAATGTTATATTGAAAGACTTGTCTTGATGTTACAAAGCCCCAAAAGAACAGAAGTAGGTAGCGATATTTTTTAGAAGAAAAATACTCGCCTCCTTTCTTGGAAGTAGGAACTCTTACTTTTCTGCTAATCACAGTTTGACATGTGTGTAGAGATTTCTCTTTTTATGTTTTTGATGAATTACTTTTGCACATATATCAAACTGTGATTTGTAGGAGGTAAGAATGTTTCGTTCTAAAGAATGAGGGAAGCATTGTCATTTTCAGAATGATTGCTTCCTACCCAATCAGTCCTTTTCAAAACTGGTTAATTTTAAGTTCAATATATAAGGAATATTGAAGTTGGTGTTCATATATTCAGAACATCCTTCAAATAATGCTTGTAGTTTAGTCTTTCTTCCTCTTTCCTTTGTCAATGAATGAATGCCAAGGCCTCTCGATGCATTTTCTAATTCTCCTAAACATATAATATGTCATTATGTGATTATTCTATGAACGTTTTAGGCAGGAAAAAATAATATCAGATAAAGAAGTTAGGTGCAAATCACACTCGAGACTCAGGAGGATGGAGGACATAGAATATCTAACAACTACATCAAAATGAGGAAGGATAATCTGATAATCATTCTTTAACGATCTTAGTTTCCAATGATTTTTGTAGAATTCCAGACCCAGTCCCAAAGACTTCCTGCTCGCAGTCTTTTAATCTTTTTTATTTAGAGAAAGTAGTGGATGCTCATCTGAAAAGTGAGACACATAAAAAAAATAAGAATCTAACACTTGGGTATCATAAAAAACATTAATTAATTTGGATTATATTATAGATGAAGCCAACAAAACAAGATACAAGATATGATTTGTCCAAATCAACAACCCAATTATTATGTTGTGGTATACAGCTACAAATGCACTACCATTTCTCTTGGTTTGTTCCCTGCAGCCCAAACCCATGAGAAACGCACGTATAAAACTGGGATAGCACTATTTTACTATTTCTAGTCAATCACGGTATGTCACGCATGATAAAATTTTCACATAACAGTCTATGATTAGCCGGATTTCATACAAGTTTTTCTGTGAACGCACACCCTCTTCATCAACCACATTGCATCAGAGGAAGTAGGCTACTCAAAACCAGTTTAATTAGCAGCAAGAACCAGATAGCTCTGTTTAGTTTCTGTGATATTTGATGAAATGCATGAAATATGTAGTTTCTTAAATTCAGCTCCTCGACCATGAAGTTAAAACCATAACCTTATCATAGAGAGTCTGAACCTGCCCGGTCTTTTGGGGGGACAAAAGGTTTAAAGGCTATGCGAGTAGAAACATATAAAATTAAGAGACATAGCAGCTTCATGGATGGCTGCAAAAAGCATTAAAACCCCCATGTTCTTGAAATTTTATAGTTTTGCTTGTGAAGTGTAAAGTAGCACGTGGCAGAGATTTATCTTCAAATTAAACTATTACACAAAAATTTCAATTGGACAAAAGCCTGTTGCACAACAATTTATACACTAGTAGCCTGAAATTGAGCACAGTCCAGATAAATAACTGGGTCAGCCCAGCCCACAATTAGAGTGTAAATCCTGGACCCAAGCTGAAGATCAGGGCCTAATTGGGCTATGATTTGTTTTCTCAATTTTCAGCCCAATTGGGGGAGAGAGGGTGGGGCATAGGCATTGCAGTGGAGTGGGGAGGCTAGGCATGCATGATTGAATGCACCAACATGTTTGTCTAAAGTAATAATGTAATATTTCAAAAGCCAAAAGGACATCCACCACACAATCCTCTTTAATTTCCCATCGAGTAAAGACTGAAGAATGACCCGGAGCTTTAAATTTGTCATGGTCCTACTTCTTATGATATGAATTCAGAGCATTGTTTTCTTATCTTCATTATAAGATAGAGTTCGACTCTCACCTTCACCGTAAAAATTAAAATTAAACTATTGTGTACGGGATGAACTTGCATTGCATTTGAATCACCCTGTCTTTTTCATATGCTTCCATCGGCAACTTAGAAAAAAAAATATATATATGGGCATCTGCCTTCGCAGTTTGCAACCAATTGAAGCAACTTCATGCTATTGTAGTTGTTGATCAATTATTGATGATCCTATTGATTGTTGACTTTGGATTTAGAGGATCTCTTTCCTACGTCTATTTTTGGGTCCACCAATCGGAATTGAAGTAAGGAGAAATTGCAAAGGGAATGGAACAATTGTTTGTGGATATGAGTAAATAAGTTTGCCTCTCTAGGGTTTCTAGTTTTGATTGGAGCTCTAGAGCTCTAGAGCTACACTAACAGCTCTCTATCACAAGACTTTACTCAGTGCTCTCTTTTGATCTTCTTCTCACATGCATACTTTTCTGTATGATATATATTTTTATAAGGGGAAAAAGTGTTTGTTTAATATTAAAAGTCTAAGATAATGCTTAATTAATTATAAATTTGTGTTAGGTGAAGGGACCATTGGTTCCAACTTCCATGTCCAACGCTAACACTGTGGGGAAAGAGGAAGAGGAAGAGGAAGCTATGTCACGGGCTTTGCTAATCACATGTCCATAAACAACTAAAAAGGAAAAGGAAAAGATCAAAAGAGGATGGTCACGGGTCTAATCCTATCGCCTTCATCTTTGACACGAGCTTCTCATAAAAAACAAATGAACAAACAAAGGGCAAACCCAACTAGTCTTATTATAAACAAATTTTTTGTATTATTCCATGTGTTTTATTTTCTTGTTCTCTTATACTACCATCCGTATTCTCTTCTTATTTTATTATTTTCTGCGCAGAAGTAAGTAAACAGTTGGTTGGATTTTGACTTCTATCCAATTAAAATAAGAACTAATTCACGTATTGAAACAGGTTTGTAACTTGAGTGTTTAACAGTAATTATCTTTTACAATCGAGATTCTGTGTTTGAATTTCTCTTCTTTATAAGACAAAATGGAACATGATTTGAGATCGTGTGTTTGAATCTCCGTTCCTATTCCTAGTAAGTCAAACAAAACATAATTTAGGGTAGGACTATTTTTACAATTAAGGCTATTATTTATTTCCAATAAAATATGTTCCTCTTGAGTGCATGCCAATTACCTGATGGTCCCGTCGTGGAAAGGAACAAGAGCTGAACAGTAGCAATCAATTATCCAGCACAGCTTGTATGATGTAGAAGCCGACGTGTATCTTTTTGGACCGTCCCTTTCATCATCTATCAAAACATACACATGCAGTACATCAACGGCAGTAATTGTAAATAGGTGGGGGCTTGGAATGCGTGAGAGCATATATACTAAAACCCTTTTTGGGTTTTGAGGTCCGAGAGAGAGACACGGACAGAGAGAGAGAGAGAGAGATCCAAAGAATTTAATGCACCCAACAACTCTGTCAGCGACTATACGCAAACCCTTTTATTCAATTCAACTTTTTACGTCATATTTTTTACCCAATCAAGGCGGTAAAAAATTCGGTCTTTATGCTGGAGTTGAGAGATCCCATTTGCTTGGTCCACTCCACACCATTGGATGTGGGTGAAATTACAATCTCTTTGGTTACCAAATTGGCATTGGTTGTGGCGTTTTCAACATTTTATTTATGTGTCATCAAGTCCAAAATCTGACAAGAAAATGCCAAATGCAAATTGACAAAAAGGTTTTTAGAAACCCTAACCGGTCCCTGCATGGACTTGGCAATCTGCCCCATCCCCCTTCCTTGCTTTTGTCCATTTGAGCCTTTCTCACTGTTAAGTCACTCACTCTCTTTCCTTCTGGCTCCTGCAAATTGTTAAGATAGTACTTGCCTCATTCCGTATAAAGAGATACTCTTCATTTATGCGAATCACAGTTTAATACAAAAATAATTTATAAAAAATACTATTAAAAAAAAAATTTATGCACACATATCACACTGTTATTGACATGACAGGAATGTATGAGCTTCTACTTACATAATAAAGAGAGAAGTATTTTCCAATTGTTAATATCCAATTCAACCCCCACACACACCTTCAATTCAAGCACAAAATCGGCCTTGTGTTTTGCCCATGGCTTTTGGTAATTTGGTAATATGTTTGCATATATCCGAGTTATTTGAGCAAAGCTGGTTTTTTCAACCAGCTGAACTCAAAAATCTGATAAACGAGATTGAAAGACATGGTGCAGAAACACAGTGACAACCAAGTAGCAGAATTTTGCAGACTAAGGTTAGAATTTAAGATGGCAACGACGTTTTAACACATAAGATATGACAGGACAATTAATTTAGCTAAGTAATGGAGTGCAAAACAACAAACGTGAACCTTAAGGATTCATCAAAGCCAAGAGAGACAAAAGAAGAGTAGGGACCAAACCAAAATGGGTTCTTTCTTAGCAAAATTGCAAAAATTTGCTCTAAACTCAAGTTATAGAAGGTTTTATGGTGGGCACAACAGATGACAGATTCTTAACACATGGTTGGCTTGGCTGCTAGATCCAAACTTCCTCTTGCTGTGTAGGCATCAACCAACCAACCAACTACCCCTTTATAATTTTGGACAACATTATGAAACCAAAAAACAGCATTTAATATTAGTAGGTATTTGTCCAATACCTTGAAGGAGTTATTAGAAAAAAGTGAGAAAAAAAAACAGTATTCCCACCAGTTAAAAAGGAGAAATACAACACAAAACTCAGAATTCTCCTCAATTGTTCTCTAACTGTGCTTTTCCTTTCCACAAGAGGAAGATTATCCAATTACACAGCGTAAGCCACCATCACCATATTATGCAGAAAAAGAAAAAAACTTTTTTCCTTTTTTTAAAAGATGGGGGTTGTGGTCAATTACAAAAAGGAGAAGGAAACAACTGTCTGTTGCAAACACTGGCCTGTGACACATGATTTGCCCAGAGGAAAAGGTAACGCTACAAACAATAAAAAAAGTAAAAGGTGGGTTGTAGGTAATTATAGGCAAGGAAAGAAAACCAGACAAGACACACCCTCTCTCTCTCTCTCTCTATGATCTCATTTGTGTACAGTCAGTCGTAGATCTTTGCCAAGTAAAAGAGCCTTGCAAGAAGAAACCAGAAAATCCAAAATCCCAAAACCAGCGAAGACCCTCTCTTTTTCTCACCTTCCATAACATAAGGTTATGATTGAGTGAGCCAGGACAAAGCTTCCTCATTGTTGCCCATAAACCCACTACCTCTTGCCTGTCATATCTATCTCCACCTTTGAGCTCCTTTTCCTCTCTGATTAGACACCCTCCTGGAAAATGTTCATGCAATCTCTGTTGGGTTTGTTCCATAGTGAATCAATTACCTTTATTTTTCCCGGAAAATGAGGGAAAGTGGAGAAAAATAAATAAAAGACAAACAAGTTAAAGATACCCAAGTCATTCTTTTTCTTGCCCCATACATTGTATCGTCTTCTTTTCTATCTTGGGTCTTCAGCCGTATTCGAACAGAAAATGAGGAAGCATGGATGGCAACTTCCTTACCATCCACTCCAGGTATAGTTCCAAAAATCTTAGCATTGTTGTTAGCTCGGCCAATTGATGTACTAATTTTGTTTATATCTGAAGGTGGTGGCTGTTGCTGTATTTCTGGCGTTGGCCTTTGCTTTCTATGTGTTCTTTGCTCCTTTTGTTGGAAAGAGGATTTTTCAGTATGTTGTGATGGGCCTCTACACTCCTCTTGTAAGCTACTTTCTTGAATCCCCCATTTTATATGATTTTCTACTCATTTTTTGTGGTTTAAGAACTGAGATCCGTGCTTAGTTATATATGCCTAAAATAATTTCTCCACTCTGGGTTCTTGCTCCTTCCTGTGTGTTTCATTTATTTTGGTTCTTGTCCGCGGATTCTTCGAGATGTCATCAACTTGTTGCTTGAGCTGATAAGGGAAATGGGTTGCTTGTCTTTTAGCATGTATATGTTCCTTGTACGGCTCTTGATTTCAGATGCATGAATTCCAAACTTGATGTGTTAAAAGAACAGAGCTTTTTGCAACTTTGTGAGCAAAAGCACATCATTTGGTTTTCGTGTGACGTCCTTCTATTTTGTTTATATGAGGTCGTTTGAAATTTTGAAGTAATTGCTGCAATTGTTGCGAACTCCTCTTCAGATGAAAAATAGTATCTTTAGCCCGTGCAGCCGTTTCTTTGATAGCAAACCAGTTGTGTTAATTTTATGGATAGTTGAGTTGAAGTTTCTGGCGCCAATCTACGTTGCTCTCTATTTTCACGGCCTTGAGAATCTAGACCACATTTAATTTCACATTGTTGGTGAATTTTGATAGAAAGAAGTATGCAAACACAAAAGGATACTTAGCTCAGGGAAATCTAAAGATGGTACGAAGGCAATCATTTGAAATAGATGGTACTCTGTTTTTAATTCATGACAAGTGAAAAAGAAAATGAAATCTAGAGCTTCAAGTAGTGCGTTTGATGCGCCGGTCAACGAAATATATTTATGCTTGTCATGATTGCCTATGATATGGTATATTATCTACCTATGTACTCTTCTCAATAAGAAGTAACGTAGCTCTTTTTTTCTTCTTCAGATTACATGTGTCTTCGGCCTATATATTTGGTGTGCAGCTGCTGATCCTGCAGACCCAGGGGTTTTTAGGTCAAAGAAATATCTCAACATTCCTGCCGATGAAAAGCGTAATAGAACAAAAGATTCTAAACTATGTGGGGAGTCAACATCATCAATGCATGATGCTAATGCTGTAACAGTTGGAGGAAAACCTCTGGATAAGGATGTTTTGGGCAAAGACGCGACTTCCAAAATGTCCACCAGTGAAGGTGGAACAAAGAATGAATCAGAACATTCATCATGCTTCCTGTTGGCTTGCTCTCCGTGTGCATATATCTACAATTGCTCCAGTTCGAGTGAGGAATCTTCTGTACAACAAATGAGTGAAGAAGGCATGTTCTATTGCAGTTTGTGTGAAGTTGAGGTGTGCAAATGAACTTGAATACAAAGATTCATGCTTTCACTGTACATTTGTTCAGTTGTGTTCTATAATCTATAACAAGCTGGGGAAACTGGAAAGGACTCATTGGGGGTGTCAGTTAAATGGCATTGCATGCTAGTTTTGGTTTTCAATTAGGAGATATCCTACTGAAGAATTAAATAGGGTGTGTTCAACTAACTCTTTTTTTTTCTTCAAAAGGAGAAAGCTTGAGTAAAAGTTAACCTGTTGGGGAATTATTGTATTCTTGACATCTTCTCAAACTCAAATTATGTTTAACCATCCACTAGCCACTCTTGAAATTATTGCATTGCCTTTGCATTGATTGTGTACAAAGTGATGTGAATAAGTGTTTGCATCAGGTTTTCAAGTACAGCAAACACTGCAGAGTTTGTGACAAATGTGTTGACCGGTTTGATCATCACTGCCGGGTATGCATGATCTTAGTTTGTTGAATATTATTATGTTGTGTCTTTGTAATTCCTCTAATGCCATTTCCATTTTGATTTGTAGTGGCTTAACAACTGTATTGGAAAAAGGAATTACCGACAATTTTTCACGCTTATGGTTACTTCTCTCCTCTTGGTAAGCATAACCTTCCGTTGTTTTCCTTTCTTAGGATCTCATATGATCAATCTTACAATCACCGGCATATTGTCTCTTGTTGTATATATTAAGAACCTTAATAACCCGCCTTCGAGAGTGCTCCCATTCCAGACACATGGATCTTCTTTTCGCCATTCAGCCATATCAAGGTCCTCTCTTTAAAATCTTGATGACATTTTGACAGTGATTCCATAAGTCATCAATGATCTCTATAGAAGCTTTACTCTGGAACTTGTAGGGGCTCTTTGCTTGGCAATATTTTTAATCAATTTCATTTTCACCATTGGCCTCCCCAATTGTTAACCTCAATACTCTTCTAAACAAAGTCAAAAATGGAGAACTATTCCTGGTCTTACATGGTTAGTTTATCCTATTTTCTCTGCTATAATTCCCAAAAGCAACACGCCAGGACCTGAAGATCACGTCAAAGTAAGTTTTTTTTAATTTTCAAGTCATTTTTATTTTGACTAATTATTGACAGGTATGTACATGGTTTGTACACCTTGGGGTTGAGATTGCAGCTTATTTTACAATGGTCAACTGGAATCTTCGTGCTTATCTGCTGTATTGTTGAGAGGAAGCAGTTCTCTGTGGATATTTCTTCCAAGTTGGGGAGCAGTTTCTCTTTGGCACCTTTCATTATTGTGGTGGTGAGTGTTCTGCTATTGTCTCTGTTCAAGTGAGCCCAAGTCCTAATCAGCCTTCTGCAATTGGCTTTTTCTAGTTTAGAGAATCTATTTATCTGATTTGTGCTTCTATTCTAGAACTAATGAAATCTAATCTTCAACTTTGCAGGCGGTGTGTACCCTTTTGGCTATGATTGCAACCTTGCCACTTGCACAACTTTTCTTTTTTCACATCCTCCTTATAAAGAAGGTTAGCGTTGCAATTGCTTCCTACACGATCATGTTGAATTTTCCATTTATATTACTGTAGAATATCAAATCCTTGTTATAATTGTCTGGATCATTTTTATCGTTGCAGTTTGGGGATCCATTTTTCATGCCTCCAATGTGTATTTATCTCTAGTCGTTAGTCATCCCTCTAATAGTGAATAAAAAATAATAATTGCTTGACAATGAAATGCTTGTTAATTGAATATTTTTTCCCATTTTCACATCCTTAATTTCTTCCCCAAAAGTTATCTGCCTATCTTTATCCTTTTTCATGCAGCATATATTTTTTAGAAGCTAATAATGTTAATCTGAATTTGTGTAGGGAATCAGCACGTATGATTACATCATTGCTTTGAGGGAGCAGGAGCAAGAGCAACAAGGAGTTGGAGGTCAGCATAGTCCCCAAATGTCTCCTGCTAGCTCACTTACCGGATTAAGCAGTGCAAGCTCCTTTACTACTTTCCACCGAGGTGCATGGTGTACACCTCCACGTCTGTTCCTTGAAGATCAGGTAATTTGACTGGAAACCATTTTGCTACGGTGGATCTAAGATAATGCACCCCGATCTGTTTACAATTGTTCACAGTTTCAAAATCCATTGGCCTTCCAATGGGTAGTTCTTTCCCAATTGATGTGTTTCTAGAGGAATTCTCCCCCATGTCCTATCATTTGTATTGCCTGGAGCTCGTATTTCCAGTGACAATCTAGATATTAGAATAAATGAAAATGGGCTGATTCGTTTGCTTTGTTGTTTTCTTTTTCCAGTTTGATGTTGTGCCCCCAGAGACTGGATCTGTCAGTTCATATGGAAGAAAGATGGTGGGAGAGGAACCAGTTAAGAAGAAGAATACAGCAGTAAAGATCAGTCCGTGGACTCTGGCAAGATTAAATGCTGAAGAGGTATCAAAAGCTGCGGCAGAGGCAAGAAAGAAGTCGAAGATCCTGCAGCCCGTGAGACGTGATGCTCCTTTTGGGCTAGAAAGAGACAGCAGCTTTGGCAGCAGTGGCCGCCGAATGGTTCCAAGGCCTGACAATAATCGAAGGCGAACTACGAAGCGGGTGCGCCTCCCGGCCGACCTTCCCATGGATGCTTTGACAAAGGGTTCGGCTAAAGCTGTTGACAAAGGCTTTACTGAGACATCAACTAGTTTGGCCCCTCTTCAGCTTGAAGCTCGGAGTGCTTTCCAAACAAGCCGAGCAATGTCAAGCTCCACAGGGATTGTTGCTTCTTCTCCTGATAGCAGTTTAGACTCACCTGACATCCATCCCTTCCGGGTGTCCTCATCAGGAGCTGAAGAGGCAAGGCGGCTCACGGGTCTGCCTGCTGCTGTTGCAGCTGGTCAGAAGGGAATGCCACTGTCAAGGTCAACCAGTGATGGGTATGACGCATCTGGTGGAGAAGATAGTGATAGAGTGCCTTCTAGAATCGTCCAAAGGTCAACAAACTGGAGTAACCTTCTCTTTGGCTCTGATCAAGATGAACGGATTGGCAAACTGAAAGCATCATCCTCTAGCCTGGCTAACACTAGAATGCTGTGATCAAGTGTGATTTAATGGGACTTAGGTCATTTTGATTTTACTGAGGGGGACATTTCAATATTCTTTCATTTGTGGGGGGCCGTAATTGGCCTTGAGATCTTAGTTTCATTTCAGGGCTTCATGGGTAAGTCATGACATGCGCTGTATAGAAATTTGAAAATTTGGGTTTAACTGAGATGCACATACTTTTGTATTTTGTCTGAGCTTAATTGCAGGTTCACCTCTGTTGAATTTTAGGGACTATCTGAATGGCAAGTTTGCTGCCACAATACTCGATCGGCTGTTTTTGCTTGCGTGGTCTATGTTAAAATTTAGATTACTGTTTTTTTGTTGAGAAATTACATCACTGAATTCACGTAGCGATTGATTGTTCAAAGCCTAAACAGATACAACACCAGCAGAAGCAGAACCTTTCACATCATCCTCCCCAGCCAATATTACATACTCCATTGGATCAGAAACCACCACCACCTCCTCCTCCTCACCATTAGCTGCCTTGCAATACAAGATGGTGATTGCCACTCCATGGCAGAGCAGCACCATCATCTGCAAAATTGTGGTCAGGCCAAGAAGCACAGCAACTGCCCAACTCTTCCATCCACTACCAGCCGCCTCCGACCCCATTTCCAAAACCCAGCTAAAAAAACCTAACATTGCACTGAAAACCCCATGCAGCAACATCATAGAGAAGACAACCCCTCTCACTCTCATCCCCTTCACCAAACGCCAGCTTCGCAGCAGGGCACCGAAACCCCAACTGCGTTCCACCACAACCACCGCAAAGGCAAGGCTCCACATCACTTGGAGGTACAGCAACAGAGCAATCATACTCACCACAGAGAACGCCATGAAAATGAAATGAAATGGCCCAATCATAGACACAAACTGCCCAAACGCCTTCAAAATCAACAAATCCACCACCTGGGAGACCACAAGGGTACCCAGCAGAGGAAAGAAGGAAGCCAGTCCTGATTTAATGGCCAAGGTCAGCCTCACTGGTCGGTCATGGAACCCATGGGAGGCGCTGTGAGTAATGGACCCGACGGCCAACAGAGAAGAGACAAAGACATAAAGTAGGAAGGCGATGAAAGTAAAAAGGGTCATGTCGGGGACGGCAGGTTGGCTTTGAGGAAGCTCAGAAGAAGAAACAGGAGTTGTGAGAAATGGGTTGGTGTAGAAATTAAGGAGCGCTGGGTAGACGACGGTGGACAAGAAGAAAGCGAGGGGAAGAAGGAACATGACTGAGAGGTCTAAGAAGTTGCCGTTGGGGCCGTTCATTAGGCTCTGAGCTCTGCTCAGCACTGTCAACAACGAATTGCAAGCCATGGCTTTTTTGGGTCAATGGCTTGCCATGGCGCTTATGCTTAATATCAAATCATTCATTCATTTCATAATGTTTCATTAAAAGTTAAAACCAGTCCTTCTCAAAATCCCTCCCTTGTTCTTGTGTTCGATGTTAACCAGAATGGTTGTTTAACTTTGTGTCCCCTAACAAGAGTGAGGCCAATCCAAAACGTCAAACAAAGCAAATGGTTTTTTAAATCAATGTAAAAACGTTGAAATAATAAGATACTCAAATACTTAACATGATTTCATACAAGTTCGATGACCTAAACTCACTAACATTTTTCACATCACAATTTGCATCTTTAACATATCTTTGATTTTTATTCCTTTTTTCTTTACACAAAAGTCTGATGAACTAAAACTCTACACTAACAAAGGAGTGCAAGCATTCTCAGTTTGATGAGCCATCACAGAGCTGACTGACCTGAGACTCATCATCAAGTATAGGCAACAGAAACAAGATGAGGGACCTTTCCATCGTCGAAGGGCAAGCTCACATACGCCGTCGCAAACTCCTCTGCAATTTCCATGGCGAGCTCGCCGTTAAGAGCCCTGCAATACATATACAACACCGTGTTCGCTGCCGTGTTGTAAAGCATTAGCAGCATAAGAGAAGTGGAAGTCACCACAATTTGCACTACAAATGCCCAACTCTTCCAACCATCAGTATCTCCATCCAAATCCAATGCCGAAGCCCAACTACAGAACCCCAAAATCGACAAGAAAAACCCGAAAAACAGCATCAAAGACAAGGCTACCCCTCTCATTCCCTTGATCAGATTCGTGCTTCGAGTTAAGGATCCAAACCCCCAATTTGATTCCACCACAACCACCACAGAAGCTAGGGTCCAATTCACTTGAAGATAGAGCAAAACGAGAAACAGAGCCATAGCAAGAACAGCTAAAAACCCAATAAAATAAGGGGAATTGTACTCCATCTGAAAACCCATCAGCTCAGCCCCTCGAACCACCAAAAACAACACTAGCCCAAAAACAGTGAAAACCAATAAGACAAGGATCTGGGAAACAAGAACAGTACCCAATAAAGGGAAGAAGGAGGATAAAACGGATTTGATTGCGGAGATGAGTTTGACGGGTCGGCCATAGAATCCGTGAAATACGCTGTAGGTGATCGAACCCACGGCACACAGAGAGAAGACGAAGATGAAGAGGAAGAAAGATAGAGCGACACAAAGGGGTTTGGTGGCGATGATGGGTTGGTGTTGATGAGGATTGAAAGTAGAAATTTGGAGGAATATCTTGGAGTTGTTTGGGGATGGATCGGTGAGGAGGTTTTGGACTGTTGGGTAGACGATGGAGGAGAAACAGAGAGGGAGAAGGAAGAGGACTGAGAGGGCTAAGAAGTGGCGGGAGTGGGCGTTGACTATGCGCTTCGATTCGTTGAGCACTGTGCACAGGTTTAGAGGTGCCGATGGAGCTGCCATGGCGTATTGGGACTGAAGAAATGTGAAGGTTTTGTAAATTGCGGGTGGAAGAAGGAAGCAGAGGATGAAGAAGATGATGTCGGGCAACGCTGTCTTTGCAGTTTCCTCGGCTTTTCTGTGAAGTATGGAGGTCGACGGATTGGATTGGATTGGATAACTTGAATGAATTGGTTTCAGGCTGGTGTGGTATGGGATTGCAGATACCAGACGGGCCTGGAAACTTGGTGGCCCTATTTCCTTGGGTTAGTCATAGTCGGGCCGCCATGACTATGACTACCACGTCAATGGAAATGCTATCCCCCAAGTCAAACTAAACGGCATTCTTGGTTTGGTTTTTGTTATTTTAATTTGGCTTAAATGTATTTAAATACTAATTATTCACTAAAGAAATAATAATTAAAATATAACTACTAATTAAAGTGATTAAATAAGGCTAATTATAAATATTAAACTAAAGAGACTAATTTTTAATTTACAAAAAAAAACTCATGACAAATTTTTGCTGGGATAGGTCTATGCTGATAAATTTTTGTTAGTAGAGGTCTTCTGGTGAATATTTTGGGGATTCCGACAACAAACTACTTGTTAAATCTTCCTCACGTTAAGAACAAACTACTTGTTAAATCTTCCTCACGTCATACTCAACTAAATAGGGTTAGGTACAGTTATGTCGTACTAACCCTAGGTGAGTTACATGAGTATCCAAGCCTAATCGAGTCATAAGTGCCCTAGAGTAGGGCTTATGGTTGGGGTTTGAGGCTTGAGAATGGTTTTGGAAAGAGTTTGGAAGTTAGGGTTTTTGGTTTGAGACTTGGATTTAGGGTTTAGAGGCTAAAATTCATTTTTTGGATACTAAAATAATTTTCTAGGATTTTTAGATAAATGAAACTATTTAAAAAATGATTTCAGAAATTAAAAATAATTTTAAAGTCCACAAAATCATTTAAGATAATTAAATATAATTAAATACTATTTATTAAGTAATTTATGAAATAAAATAAAATATTTAAATACTAATTATTCAATAATTAAATAATAATTAAAACATAATCACTAATTAATGTGTAAATAAATAATGCTAAGATATTACTTAATTAAAAATATTAAACTAAACAAACTAATTTTGTATTAAAATTTTTTTAAAATAATTATTTACTATTTATCAACTAATTTATGAGATTAATTAAAAATATTTAAATACTAAGTATTCACTAAAGAAATAATAATTAAAGTGATTAAATAAGACTAAGATATTACTTAATTGCTATTTATCAGTCTGTTTTTGTTGTTTAATTTGATAGCAATGAAATCTGATTGTTGAAGGTCCTTGCTTCTTAATTAGTTTGGAAGAATCGAAGCCTAATAGTTACTTCGGTTCCTCATCATTGGCTGGAATCCCTCTATACCCTTTACAGTTAGATGTTGATGACATTTTGTTTGTACAATGGCAGTGATTCGTCTATATCGAGGTCCTTGAACGGTGGATTGCAGTTAATCGTCTGTTTTGTTCGGAGTATATTATCCCTTTGGCATGATTATCTAAGGCATATTGAGCTTATGAATATGTGGGGCTTCTGTCATATTGACGCTGTCCCTGTTTGGAATGCATGGGGACAAGCTTGATTCGGATGGAGCACTATGCACAAGCTCGTGTGAAGTTAAAGTAAGGCTATGGCTTTATTGATCGACAAAAATGAACTACGTTTCCCCTTCTCTCTCTCTCTCTCTCTCTCTCTCTCTCTCTCTCTCTCTAGTCCAATATCCGGCAAATGCCTGTTGGCATAGGTCTCTACCGACGAAATTTCGTTGGCATTAATGTCATTTTTCCCTCTTTTGAATTTTAAGCAAGCTCTTCAGCTGTGCAAGTGTGATTCTGCTCCTGTCATTCTTGAGATCATCAGTACAATCAAGGGAGGTGGACCGAGTTATGTTTCAACTATTCGTTCCATGTAAGATGTCATACTTAGTGACGGATTCAGGATTCAAAAGTCAGGTAGACGAAACTTACCTTAAAAACTTGACGGTACGAATGAATTTCATTTATAAAAATAAAAAGATACACCTAGTCGGGGAGAGCGTAATGAGATTTATCCTCAGATATAAAAACTTAACAAAAAAAAACTAAAAAAACAAATTAATGCAATGCAACAAAAAACTAAACTATATAAATCTAAAACTAAATTAAACTATTAAAAAACTTAAGATGCATACATTTATTTTAGGAAAAACCCAATAGAAGAATACTTATTGGCCTTAGATATGAGAAAATGCTACCAACAGAGAATGTCCAAACTCAAGAAGAAGCTGCAAAAGATAATGATTTGGGACTGTCGACTATTGCACAGCTGAAAGGGAATTGGCTGCTTACTTATATTGTTTCCCCCCCTTTTCTTTTTTTAAGTTTGACTGGGCCATATAATATGTGGGTTGCTCTAAAGTTTAGGTAGGCATGGGTTCACACCATTACATGGGATGGGTAGGAATAGCTTTGCTTACATATAGGTTTTTTTTTTGAATGTCATTTTATTACATGGGATGGGTAGGAATAGCTTTGCTTACGAAATTTCGTTGGCATTGGTCTCTCTCTATGGTATAGTTGCTTATTAATGTCATTTTTCCCTCTTTTGAATTTTAAGCAAGCTCTTCAGCTATGCAAGTGTGATTCTGCTCCTGTCATTCTTGAGATCATCAGTACAATCAAGGGAGGTCCACCGAGTTATGTTTCAGCTATTCGTTCCATGTAAGATGTCATACAGTACTACTTTGAAATCATAAATTAAATGTTTAACTTGTGTGAGCCGGAGTTTAAGACAGTGTTTTTCAAGCTAGGCTAGGTTTTAGAAGGTTTCTATAGGAGTTTGATATCTCCTTGTATTTCCTAATGGCAGTATTTCTGAGCATGCATGTGCTGCAACTTTATTTTAAAATGCCGTTCACTTTATCACTAGGCTATTTTGCCTTAACAACTCAAAGGAACACATTATCATTGAAGGTTTTAGAATCCGATCTTCGCGGATGTGAAGGTTTACAATATATATGATATGATGCTAGTAATTTTCTGTTTCTGGATGAGCTTGATAAAACTGAGAAGTTGGAAGAAACTGAATTTATGTACAAAGTCTTAAACCAAGATGAAAGTTATAGGGTCCAAGATTTTGTTATTGAGCACGTTTTCCAATTTGAAGTAACATTGGTTGGTTGTTAGATTTGAGATAAGTATTAAATAATTAGTTATTTATTAAGTAATTTATGAAATTAAAAATAATTTTAAAGTCCAAAAAATTATTTAAGATAAGTAAATACTAGCCCCTGGCACATGCTCACGCATGTGCCAATTTGTTTTATTTTTAGAACTAAGAAAAGATAACATGGGTAGTTATATTCCATAAAAGTAGAACCTATTATCTTATTTTGTTTTTAATTAAAATTTTTTAAATATGAAAAATGTGAATTTACCATATTATCCTCATTTAATTAATAATTTCAATTCTTAGTGTTTGAATTAACCAAGGGCATTTTCTAGTATTTTGAATGTTTCACTATTCTCTGCCTTTTGTTTTATATATATATATATAATTATTTACTATTTATTAAGTAATTCATGAAATCAATTAAAATATTAAAATACTAATTATTCATAAAAAAAGAATAATAATAATTAATATAATTAAATAAGGCTAAGATATTACTTAATTGTAAATATTAAAAGAAAAAAACTAATTTGGTATTTTAAGAAAAAGTCCACAAAATAAATAAATAAATAATTTATGAAGTTAGTAAAATATTTAAATACCAATAATTCACTATAAAAATAATTAAAAAAGGCTAAGATATTACTTAATTATATAAATAAAAAATAAAAAAATCATTATGTGTAGTATAGCCGCGCGGCTACACTCTTTTGAAACGTGGCACCTAGGCGCTGTGCGCTACTCTGTTCTTTTTTATTTATTTATTATTAAAGCGTATAGCCGTGAGGCTATAGTCCATTCTTTTAATTTTTTTAAAACAGTCTAGCCGAGCGGCTGTACGGGGTTTTTATTGTTGGTTTTAATTCCCTTTAATAAATAGTATAGCCTTGTGGCCATACTCGTATTTTTATATATACTAAGATCCTTTTTATAAAAAAAAATTTTATCTCCGATTTTCATTTATCGATAAGAGTAGTTTATAACATTATCTATTACTATTAGACCATTACTCGAGTCTCTATTGTTTAATTTTAATTTTGTACCTTTCTAGAGTTATTACCCGTATGAAGAATTTTATACTTTCACGTTTAACACTTTATTATACATGTACGTACGTATTTTTTAATAATACATCCGTATTCTATACACTTGTTAAAGGCTCGGTAAAATTCATGTTTAAAAAAAAAGAAGCAAATGTCAAATATTGGTATTGTATATGTACGTATGTATTTATCATGTTTAATATACAATAAAATTCACATATTATACAAATAATTTTCACATATTATTGAATAAATAAAAAATATATAAATACATTAAAATATTATATAGTGGCCGAATAATATACGTTTTGGATATGTTGAAACTAGCAAATTAATATCTATAAAGCATAAATTAATGCAACTAAGAGGGTATTTTTTTTCTTAATTTTTTATTTATTAAGTAGTATAGCCACATGCCTATACGTATCTTGACTTGTGGCACCTAAACGCTAGGGGTCCTTCTTTTTTTTCTTTTTTTTTGTTTTAAAAAAAATTATAAAATTTAAAATTTTTTATTTATAAATAAAAAAACATAGTACAGCCGACCGGCTATACTCGGTGTTTAAAAAAAAATTAAAAGTAGTATGGCTGCACGACTGTACTTGTTTGACACGTGACACTTACTTGCTAGACGGATCCCCTTTTTAAAAATAATAAATAGTATAGCCACGCGGCTATACTGTTTTTTGTTTTAATCGCCTTTAATAAATAGTATAGCCAGGCGGCTATACTTATATATATATATATTGGGATCCTTTTTTTCTTT